AATTTGGGTAATCAAAGCATGTCTAGTGGAGTAATTTGGTTAGGGCAGTTTCGGTTTCATGATTGTCCGACAAGCGATTCTGAAGACAAAAGGCGATTCTGAAAAAATCGAGCAGAAATTTCTGCTTTTCAGTAAAAGATCAAAAAAACGCATACCTGGAAGATCCAGGTATAAGTGTATCCGCCGACCCCGGCCTTCGCCAAGGCGAGCGCCAAGGCCGGGGCGGCGCCTGGGACCACAGGTGTGGAACTTGTCTCGCCGTGACAAACCCCGCATCCGAAGGCCACAGCAATGGCCCAAAAAACTTAAAACCTTTAAAATTCTTACAAAGCCTTTTGGCATCGCAGGCAAAAGCCCTCCAACAGGCACCTCAAGGCTAAAGCAATAGCATCCTATGGGCGTTCAAGACTGCCGTTTGCCGGGCCGAAAAGGTTAAAAACCCTCAAAACCATTAGAAAGCTTCTTGGCCCCGCAGGCAAAAGCTGCTCAACAGGCACCTCAAGGCCACAGCAATGGCATCTTATGGGCATTCAAGACTGCCGTTTGCCGGGTCCAAAAGGCTTAAAACTCTTAAAACCTTAAAATGCTTAAAAAACTTCTTGGCCCCGCAAGCAAAAGCTACCCCAACATGCACCCCAAGGCCACAGCAATGGCTTCTTATGGGCATTCAAGGTTGCCGTTTGCCAGGCCTCAAACCCTCAAAACGCTTCAAACGCCTAAAACAAAACCCTTAAAAAATTCTTGCCACGCCCAACCCCGTAGGCAAAAGCTACCCGAACAGGCACTCCAGAAGGCCACAGCAATGGCTTCTTATCGGAAGCACGGTTGTAGCAATAGCTTGTATGGGCGTTCCCGGCTGCCGTTTGCCAGGCCTCAAACCCTCAAAACCCTTACAACGCTTCAAAAGCTCTTGCCACGCCCAACCCCGCAGGCAAAAGCTACCCCAGCAGGCACCCCAAGGCCACAGCAATAGCTTCTAACGGGCCTTCAAGGCTGCCGTTTGCCACGCTAAAGCTACCCCAACAGGCACCCCTTCAAGACTGCCGTTTGCCAGCCCTCAAACCCTCAAAACGCTTAAAACCCTTAAAAACGTCTTACCACGCCTAACTCCGCAGGCAAAAGCTACCCCAGCAAGCAGTCCAAGGCCACATGACCGGAGTCAGGATCTCTTGCACTCAATTCAAACCATGGCCTATTTGAGAGGGGGTCAGCGGCACCAGGGCGTTAGCTCATTCTAAAAAAAAATAAGAGAGAGAGAGAAAGAGATGGAGACAGAGAGAGATATATATATATAGATATATATATATATATATGTATATATAGAAATAACACATAACATAACCAGGTAAAAATATGTGCAAAATTCCGGCAGCCCGGTGAAAACCAGTGATCAGGAAAAGCTGTTGCTATTGGCGTCGAGTTGCTGCTGCAGCAAGGTCCTTGCGACAGGAAGCTCTCACCAGCAAAAAGGGACAATGAGCGTGGAGTAAACTTTTACATCTAAGTGTTGGAAAAAGATGTTGCAGAGAAACCTATGAAGGAAAATTCCTGGCCACAAGCGTTTTTTTTTATAAAAATTGATGGTGCAGGCATTCAATATATGTTATTTTGCTTTTTGCCGGGTATGTTGGAAGACGCTCAAATGAATCCTGCTAATTGCATTAAAATGAAATCAGCGGGCCTGGGTCAATTCCCCCATGCGCTTGTAGGCTTCCACATACGGGTTGCCAATGGCATGGAGCATCTCTGCAAGCTGGGATAAGAGATCCACGCGCAGGACACGATCCTTGGTCGATCGAAGTTGCGATGCTTCAGCAGCATCGTATAAATAAAGCTGGGCAAAACGTGCATTGGCAGGATCATCTGCACGAAGTGGATGCGAATGGTGATAGACAGCTCCGTGAATAACGGCAACAGGTGGTGCTTGTGTGCCTGGAGTACTTGATTTAATCTCCACCGAAGCCCCAAATGACACAAACGACAGAGCAGCATTGTAGCGGCGAACATGTTGCCGAAAGTGCTTCGAAGTCGCATCATTGCCTCGAAGCCATGTGCGCAAAGGTTCTGGAGCATCCGGCAGAGCCGGCAAATCTTGCAATTTTCCACCTTTGCAACATAATGTAACACGTTTCTTATTTCCAGACAGCACTTGTTCAGCAGGAAAATTCCAAGAGCCGCAAAAACAACATTTCAACGTCATCCCTTCCAAAGCAAGAGTTTTCACCATGTTGTCGGAATAAGTATCTATATCTACATTGGCAGCAACACAAATGGGATTGTCGTCACCTGGATGATTTTGTCGCTTAGGGACCGGCACAGGACGCGGTGCCCTGGGCACTGCTGAGCTAGGCGGGTCAGCGCCTCTGTCCATAGAAGCATGCTTTGCGCAGTAACCGTCTTCGCTGCTGCGGCGAATACAATCTGGCCATAGGCACCGAGGTCGCAGAGCAGATGGGCGCCCATGGTGCTGTGCGGTCATTCGCCAAGGTGCGATTCGCAACTCCACTAATAGAAGTAGTTTAGGTGTGACTTGAAAATTCACTCGAACATATCAGCTCAGATTGTGCGCGTGGCAACAGCAATTAAGAGAAAGGCGTACAATGGACTGCTGAATTGCTTGGCTTGGAGCCACTGGGTCTCGAAGTTGGGTTAGGTACCATGCCAGCATTCATTCAGCAAATCGCACTGATCTGTTGTCATAGTGCTGTCAAAGCAAATCTGCAATACCGGAAATATTTACTTGGGTATCCGGAAAACAGCTACAGTATGACTGCCGGCGCTACGACGCCACATCAAAACAACAGCAACTGCATCGCATGTGTGCTGTTAGTGAAAGCGGCACGTAGCAGCAACATGCCCTTACCGAATTTGGCTTGTATGGTGTTTTCTGCTGCTAGTCAACTGGGGTGCCTTCAAAGCATCGCCAAAGCTTGCGCCACTGCCTGCAGAAGATCGCATGTGCTGTTTTGATTCCGTATGATATTCAATAGTTATGGAAATGACCACCAACGATCAAAGCTTGCAACAGAACCTGGAGCCGGTTAGTCTGCTCGCGGTGGTGGCCTTGCCCAGTTGGATGCAATTTCAAAGTGTTGATGGCAGCAAATCTGGAAAGCGTCCTTTGGGAATGCTTTAATGACAAATGATATCCTGATTTTCTACAGGGCTCAAGTTTGCGAGTCACCATCTTATTGCAATCATATAAATATAACTTATATACAAATATATATGTATCAATAATTTATTGATATATATATATATACACATGCATTGCACGGTTTCCAGAGCAGCTACACCGCCACCGTCGCTGAGTGCCAATCGCCCTCAAAACAGCTGCAACATGACTACTGGCAATACGACGCCACATCAAAACAACAGCAACTGCATCGCATGTGTGCTGGTAGTGAAAAGCGGCACGTAGCAGCAACATGCCCTAACCGAAGTTGGCTTATATGGTGTTTTCTGCTGCTAATCAACTGGGGTGCCTTCAAAGTATCGCTAAAGCTTGTGCCACTGCCTGCAAAAGATCGCATGTGCTGTTTTGATTCCGTGTGATGTTCAATCGTTATGGAAATGACCACCAACGATCAAAGCTTGCAACGGAACCTGGAGCCGGTTAGTCTGCTCGCGGTGGTGGCCTTGCCCAGTTGGATGCAATTTCAAAGTGTTGATGGCAGCAAGTCCGGAAAGTGTCCTTTGGGAATGCTTTAATGACAAATGATATCCTGATTTTCTACAGGGCTCAAGTTTGCGAGTCACCATCTTATTGCAATTATATAAATATAACTTATATACAAATATATATGTATCAATAATTTATTGATATGTATATATATATATATAAATATGTACACATGCATTGCACGGTTTCCAGAGCAGCTACACCGTCACCGTCGCTGAGTTCCAATCGCCCTCTGGGACTTCCTTCAGAGGTGGACGGCAACAACCTCACCAAGCTGGGCTGATGATGGCAGCCAAAAATGACTGGCACGGCTGTCTTACAATGACTGAAGTCTTTGTAGTGCAAGTGTGAATCAAATCCAAAGTCTCTGTCTATTCTCGAACAAATCTTTAAGTGGTAGTGCATTCACCTTAAAGGACCTTTCACTCCTTTTGCTGCAAAGATCCCAGTTCCGGCCTGAAATAATGACGAAGTGACCAAAGGCGCGATCACACCGGATGAGCTACGGCAAGGACCACCAGATCCAAGAAGTTGTAAAAACGTAGGTTCTCAAAAAGAAACGATGTTCCGTGAGAAAACACGATGCTTTGGAAAAACACGATGTTTTCATATTTTGCCAAATTGTAACAATGCTGTTAAGTTCTAATCCTATAGCAAAACCAGGAAGCTAAGTGTCAACTGTGACCCTCAATGCAGCAGCCTTGTCATATTGCTGTCAAAGCAAATCTGCAATACTGGAAATATTTACTTGGGTATCCGGAAAACAGCTGCAGTCTGACTGCCGGCACTACGACGCCACATCAAAACAACAGTAACTGCATCGCATGTGTGCTGCTAGTGAAAAACGGCACGTAGCAGCACAATATGCCCGAACCGAATTTGGCTTGTATGGTGTTTTCTGCTGCTAATCAACTGGGGGTGCCTTCAAAGTATCGCCAAAGCTTGTGCCACTGCCTGCAAAAGATCACATGTGCTGTTTTGATTCCGTGTGATGTTCAATTGTCATTCGCATGTGTGCTGTTAGTGAAAAGCGGCACGTCGCAGCAATATGCCCTAACCGAATTTGGCTTGTATGGTGTTTTCTGCTGCTAATCAACTGGGGTGCCTTCAAAGTATCGCCAAAGCTTGTGCCACTGCCTACAAAAGATCGCATGTGCCCTAACCGAATTTGGCTTGTATGGTGTTTTCTGCTGCTAATCAACTGGGGTGCCTTCAAAGTATCGCCAAAGCTTGTGCCACTGCCTGCAAAAGATCGCATGTGCTGTTTTGATTCCGTGTGATGTTCAATCGTTATGGAAATGACCACCAACGATCAAAGTTACAACGGAACCTGGAGCCGGTTAGTCTGCTCGCAGTGGCCTTGCCCAGTTGGATGCAATTTCAAAGTGTTGATGGCAGCAAGTCCGGAAAGTGGCAGCATCGTATAAATAAAGCTGGGCAAAACGTGCGTTGGCAGGATCATCTGCACGAAGTGGATGCGAATGGTGATAGACAGCTCCGTGAATAACGGCAACAGGTGGTGCTTGTGTGCCTGGAGTACTTGATTTAATCTCCACCGAAGCCCCAAATGACACAAACGACAGAGCAGCATTGTAGCGGCGAACATGTTGCCGAAAGTGCTTCGAAGTCGCATCATTGCCTCGAAGCCATGTGCGCAAAGGTTCTGGAGCATCCGGCAGAGCCGGCAAATCTTGCAATTTTCCACCTTTGCAACATAATGTAACACGTTTCTTATTTCCAGACAGCACTTGTTCAGCAGGAAAATTCCAAGAGCCGCAAAAACAACATTTCAACGTCATCCCTTCCAAAGCAAGAGTTTTCACCATGTTGTCGGAATAAGTATCTATATCTACATTGGCAGCAACACAAATGGGATTGTCGTCACCTGGATGATTTTGTCGCTTAGGGACCGGCACAGGACGCGGTGCCCTGGGCACTGCTGAGCTAGGCGGGTCAGCGCCTCTGTCCATAGAAGCATGCTTTGCGCAGTAACCGTCTTCGCTGCTGCGGCGAATACAATCTGGCCATAGGCACCGAGGTCGCAGAGCAGATGGGCGCCCATGGTGCTGTGCGGTCATTCGCCAAGGTGCGATTCGCAACTCCACTAATAGAAGTAGTTTAGGTGTGACTTGAAAATTCACTCGAACATATCAGCTCAGATTGTGCGCGTGGCAACAGCAATTAAGAGAAAGGCGTACAATGGACTGCTGAATTGCTTGGCTTGGAGCCACTGGGTCTCGAAGTTGGGTTAGGTACCATGCCAGCATTCATTCAGCAAATCGCACTGATCTGTTGTCATAGTGCTGTCAAAGCAAATCTGCAATACCGGAAATATTTACTTGGGTATCCGGAAAACAGCTACAGTATGACTGCCGGCGCTACGACGCCACATCAAAACAACAGCAACTGCATCGCATGTGTGCTGTTAGTGAAAGCGGCACGTAGCAGCAACATGCCCTTACCGAATTTGGCTTGTATGGTGTTTTCTGCTGCTAGTCAACTGGGGTGCCTTCAAAGTATCGCCAAAGCTTGCGCCACTGCCTGCAGAAGATCGCATGTGCTGTTTTGATTCCGTATGATATTCAATAGTTATGGAAATGACCACCAACGATCAAAGCTTGCAACAGAACCTGGAGCCGGTTAGTCTGCTCGCGGTGGTGGCCTTGCCCAGTTGGATGCAATTTCAAAGTGTTGATGGCAGCAAATCTGGAAAGCGTCCTTTGGGAATGCTTTAATGACAAATGATATCCTGATTTTCTACAGGGCTCAAGTTTGCGAGTCACCATCTTATTGCAATCATATAAATATAACTTATATACAAATATATATGTATCAATAATTTATTGATATATATATATATACACATGCATTGCACGGTTTCCAGAGCAGCTACACCGCCACCGTCGCTGAGTGCCAATCGCCCTCAAAACAGCTGCAACATGACTACTGGCAATACGACGCCACATCAAAACAACAGCAACTGCATCGCATGTGTGCTGGTAGTGAAAAGCGGCACGTAGCAGCAACATGCCCTAACCGAAGTTGGCTTATATGGTGTTTTCTGCTGCTAATCAACTGGGGTGCCTTCAAAGTATCGCTAAAGCTTGTGCCACTGCCTGCAAAAGATCGCATGTGCTGTTTTGATTCCGTGTGATGTTCAATCGTTATGGAAATGACCACCAACGATCAAAGCTTGCAACGGAACCTGGAGCCGGTTAGTCTGCTCGCGGTGGTGGCCTTGCCCAGTTGGATGCAATTTCAAAGTGTTGATGGCAGCAAGTCCGGAAAGTGTCCTTTGGGAATGCTTTAATGACAAATGATATCCTGATTTTCTACAGGGCTCAAGTTTGCGAGTCACCATCTTATTGCAATCATATAAATATAACTTATATACAAATATATATGTATCAATAATTTATTGATATGTATATATATATATAAATATGTACACATGCATTGCACGGTTTCCAGAGCAGCTACACCGTCACCGTCGCTGAGTTCCAATCGCCCTCTGGGATTTCCTTCAGAGGTGGACGGCAACAACCTCACCAAGCTGGGCTGATGATGGCAGCCAAAAATGACTGGCACGGCTGTCTTACAATGACTGAAGTCTTTGTAGTGCAAGTGTGAATCAAATCCAAAGTCTCTGTCTATTCTCGAACAAATCTTTAAGTGGTAGTGCATTCACCTTGAAGGACCTTTCACTCCTTTTGCTGCAAAGATCCCAGTTCCGGCCTGAAATAATGACGAAGTGACCAAAAGCGCGATCACACCGGATGAGCTACGGCAAGGACCACCAGATCCAAGAAGTTGTAAAAACGTAGGTTCTCAAAAAGAAACGATGTTCCGTGAGAAAACACGATGCTTTGGAAAAACACGATGTTTTCATATTTTGCCAAATTGTAACAATGCTGTTAAGTTCTAATCCTATAGCAAAACCAGGAAGCTAAGTGTCAACTGTGACCCTCAATGCAGCAGCCTTGTCATATTGCTGTCAAAGCAAATCTGCAATACTGGAAATATTTACTTGGGTATCCGGAAAACAGCTGCAGTCTGACTGCCGGCACTACGACGCCACATCAAAACAACAGTAACTGCATCGCATGTGTGCTGCTAGTGAAAAGCGGCACGTAGCAGCACAATATGCCCGAACCGAATTTGGCTTGTATGGTGTTTTCTGCTGCTAATCAACTGGGGGTGCCTTCAAAGTATCGCCAAAGCTTGTGCCACTGCCTGCAAAAGATCACATGTGCTGTTTTGATTCCGTGTGATGTTCAATCGTCATTCGCATGTGTGCTGTTAGTGAAAAGCGGCACGTCGCAGCAATATGCCCTAACCGAATTTGGCTTGTATGGTGTTTTCTGCTGCTAATCAACTGGGGTGCCTTCAAAGTATCGCCAAAGCTTGTGCCACTGCCTACAAAAGATCGCATGTGCCCTAACCGAATTTGGCTTGTATGGTGTTTTCTGCTGCTAATCAACTGGGGTGCCTTCAAAGTATCGCCAAAGCTTGTGCCACTGCCTGCAAAAGATCGCATGTGCTGTTTTGATTCCGTGTGATGTTCAATCGTTATGGAAATGACCACCAACGATCAAAGCTTGCAACGGAACCTGGAGCCGGTTAGTCTGCTCGCAGTGGCCTTGCCCAGTTGGATGCAATTTCAAAGTGTTGATGGCAGCAAGTCCGGAAAGTGTCCTTTGGGAATGCTTTGATGACAAATGATAGCCTGATTTTCTTCAGGGCTCAAGTTTGCGAGTCACCATCTTATTGCAATCACATATATATATATATAATTTATATACAAATATATATATATATATAATTTATATACAAATATATATATATATATAGATATATATATATATGTATCAATCATTTATTGATATATATGTATATATATACACATTTTTTTCAGGGCTCAAGTTTGCGAGTCACCATCTTATTGCAATCACATATATATATATATATATATATAATTTATATACAAATATATATATATATATGTATCAATCATTTATTGATATATATATATATATACATGCCTTGCACGGTTTCCAGAGCAGCTACACCGTCACCGTCGCTGAGTTCCAATCGCCCTCTGGGACTTCCTTCAGGGGTGGATGGGAACAACCTCACCAAGCTGGTACGGCTGTCTTACAATGACTGAAGTCTTTGTAGTGCAAGTGTGAATCAAATCCAAAGTCTCTGTCTATTCTCGAACAAATCTTTAAGTGGTAGTGCATTCACCTTGAAGGACCTTTCAGTCCTTTTGCTGCAAAGATCCCAGTTCCTGTCTGAGATGATGACGAAGGGACCGAAGGCGCGATCACACCGGAGGAGCTACGGCAAATACTACCAGATCCAAGAAGTTGTTCAAAAAGAAACGATGTTCCGTGAAAAAACGACGATGTTTTGGAAAAACGCGATGTTGTCATATGTTGCTAAATTGTAACAATGCTGTTCAGTTCCAATACTATAGCTCAAGAAGGCCAAATTGTAACAATGCTGTTAAGTTCCAATACTATAGCTAAAAAAGGACGCTAAGTGTCAACTGTGAGCCTCAATGCAGCAGCCAGAAATAAAACCCCAATGCGTGAGGCTTGTGCCAAAAGCACCAATTTTCGGGAAAATTTCGCGGTTCCGTCGAAATCCGGAACCAGCAAATTTCCGGAAAATTTGCCAGTTTTGGAAATCCAAAATCGCCAAATTTCCGGAAAAATTCGGGGTATTGGCCGAAATTTCCGGAAAATTTGGGACTTTTGGCATAATTGTATTATGTATTGGGTCAATTCCGGCTACAATTGGCGGGTTTCCGACAGGGGCGCCCACTTTTTCGACAGCAGTTCCGTTTTATGTAATAATTTTAAAAACATTATAATTTAATATTTAATTTAAATATTTCAATTAAACCGCATAATTTTCCTAAATTAATTTTCTAAAATATTATATAAAATATTTCTTCAAACAAATTTATATCAAAAAAAAATCACGAATTTAATCTACGGCCTTTTACCTATAAATTTCCATATAAATTATTTTTTAAAAAAATTTCATTTATATTTTTATTATATAAATTCATATTAAATAAAGGCCGCAAATTTCATCTACGGCCTTTTACATATAAATTTAATATTTTATTAAAAATATTAAAGTGCATTTCAAATACGCAAATTCGCACAAAATATATATCTCTGTGTTTTCGGATCAATCTAAGATACGGCATTTTTCCTATAAATTTCCGTACAAAATCGTATAAAATAATTCATGTATATTTCGTCTACGCAATTTCGTACAAAAATGTATAAAAAGGGGGTCCCGATCTTGGGATCAATCTTCCTTAATCTCATTATTTTCAATATTATTATTTTCCACCTTATCTTCCACAATATTATATTATTCTTTTCATCATCCTCCTCATTATTATCTTCCTCCTTCTCTATATTATCATCTTCCACCTTTTCATCCTCCATTTCATCTTCCGCCTTATCATCTTCATCATCACCAATCTCACAATCATCATCATCATCAGCATCATCATCACCATCACCATCATCATCATCATCATCATCATCTCATCATCATCTCATCATGATCATCCTTGCCATCATCATCATCATCAACAACAACAACAACAACAACAAACAGTAACAACAACAACAACAACAACAACAACAACAACAAGGTACAAACAAACACTGGGACCCCGTTCTCTCTATATCTCCCTTTTTGTTTCTACCCTTAAGGGTACAAACAAACACTGGGACCCCGTCGTTGTTATTTAGGGCCCCCCCCCCCAACAACAACAACAACACATACCTTTCATTTCTCCATGTGCTGGACCCCTTTTCCAGCCATGAGCGGCCGAGATCCTTCAAAAAGGGGGCCGCCGCCACATCAGTTCAGACCTTTACCTTTTTCCAGGCGCTGGACCCCTTTTTGCGCCCTGAGCGGCCGAGATCCTCCAAAAAGGGGCGCCGCAACCTGACATCCAACGTGATGCCATTTGGTTCTTCTCAGTGCTTTTGCCACACATAGAGGCTCTACCCCTGTCAGCTCTCTCGGTTCCTGTGTGCTTTGTCTGCTTGTCAGGGTTGCTTTCTTTTGGCAGATCCCTTTCCCGAAACACTGTTCGGAATGACGTTTGCCGAGCACACCTTGCACACCAGGCTGGCCTAGCTTAGTTGGTAGAGCAGATGGCTCTTAACCTAAAAGTCGAAGGTTCCAGCCATGAGCGGCCGAGATCCTTCAAAAAGGGGGCCGCCGCCACATCAGTTCAGACCTTTACCTTTTTCCAGGCGGCGGCCCCCTTTTTGGAAGACCTCGGCCGCACACGGCGCAAAAAGGGGTCCGGCGGTAGATAAGGAGAAGCCGATGAGCAAAAGAAGCAGTCCAGGTTCCAATCACAGAAGCGGAGGTCAAGTTCAAGCCTTTGCATTGTAGTAGCGCAACAGAAGCACCCCAAGCATAAACTGTCTGCAGCAGGATCCTCTTGCAGAGAAGCAATGCACTTTCCCTGCGCAAAAGAAGAAGCAAAGTTGAAGCCACCTAGTTAGACGTCAGGTTGAAGCTCCTCTTTGTGGAGGATCCCGGCCTCTCACGGCTCAAAAAGGGTTCCAGCGCCTGGAAAATTGAAAGATCGGAGCTGATGTGGCGGTATCCCCCTTTTTGGAAGATCTCGGCCGCACACGGCGCAAAAAGGGGTCCAGCGCCTGGAAAAAGGATCAAGGTCTGAGCTGATGTGGCGGTGGCCCCCTTTTTGGAAGATCTCGGCCGCACACGGCGCAAAAAGGGGTCCGGCGGTAGATAAGGAGAAGCCGATCAGCAAAAAAAGCAGTCCAGGTTCCAATCACAGAAGCGGAGGTCAAGTTCAAGCCTTTGCATTGTAGTAGCGCAACAGAAGCACCCCAAGCATAAACTGTCTGCAGCAGGATCCTCTTGCAGAGAAGCAATACACTTTCCCTGCGCAAAAGAAGAAGCAAAGTTGAAGCCACCTAGTTAGACGTCAGGTTGAAGCTCCCCTTTGTGGAGGATCCCGGCCTCTCACGGCTCAAAAAGGGTTCCAGCGCCTGGAAAATTGAAAGATCGGAGCTGATGTGAAGGTGGCTTCCTTGTTAGAAAATCTCGGCCGCAGCCGGCTCAAAAGGGGGTCCAGCGCCAGGAAAAAGGATCAAGGTCGGAGCTGATGTGGCGGTGGTCCCCTTTTAGGAGCGTCTCGGCCGCTCACGGCTCAAAAAGGGGTGGCTCAAAAAGGGGTCCAGCGGTAGGTAAGGAGAAACCGATCAGCAAAAGAAGCAGTCCAGGTTCCCTTCACAGAAGCGGAGGTCAAGTTCAAGCCCTTGCATTGTAGTGGCGAAAGAAGCAATGCCCTTTCCCTCAAGAAGAAGAACACGAACTACCTTGCAGGCAAAGGCCAGCAGGAAAGAAAGGCACATGACCCGAGGTGGGGTTGAACCTTCGACTTTTAGGTTAAGAGCCATCTGCTCTATCAACTGAGCTAGGCCAACCTGGTGTGAAAGGTGTGCTCGGCAAAGGTCATTCCGAACAGTGTTTCGGGAAAGGGGTCTGCCAAAAGAAAGCATCCCTGACAAGCAGACAAGCACAGAGGACAGGAACCGAGAGAGCTGACAGTGGTAGAGCCTCTATGTGTGGCAAAGGCACTGAGAAGAACCAAATGGCAGCACGTTTGATGTCAGGTTGCGGCGCCCCTTTTTGGACGATCTCGGCCGCTCACGGCTGGAAAAGGGGTCCAGCACAAGGAAAAAGGTAGAAATCTGAAATCAGATGCTGCTGGACCCCTTTTTGGAGGATCCGGAACGCCGGCAGCACAAAAAGGGGCTCAGCAGCTAGAAAATGAAAAGCTAAAGTATGGAACTCCAAACGAACAGGCTGCGGGACCCCTTTTTGCCAGATTTGGGCTGCAGGATCCCCAAAAAGGGCTCCAGCGGCTAGAAAATGAAAAGCTAAAGTATGGAACTCCAAACGAACAGGCTGCGGGACCCCTTTTTGCCAGATTTGGGCTGCAGGATCCCCAAAATGGGGTCCAGCAACCTGAAAAATCACACTGATACAAAGCGAACCTGCTGGACCCCTTTTTGCCAGATTTCGACGCCAAAAAGGTACAAAAAGGGGCCCAAGAAGCTTTTACAGAGGTAAAAAAAAAAGCCAAAAGTCTGCACCATTTTTTTTTAAAAAACGGTGCCAAACTCCAAGGACACCCTTAAGAAGCACAAAGCAGATTCCAACATAAGCTCGAATACCTTATTCTAAGGGCCCCAGTCTTTGTTTGTACCAACAACAACAACAACAACAACAAACAATAACAACAACAACAACAGCAACAACAACGACAACGACAACGACAACGACAACGACAACGACAACGACAACGACAACAACGACAACAACAACACCAACAACTTCATCGTCCTCACCATCATTATCGTCGTCATCGTCGTCGTCGTCACCATCATCATCATGGATCTTCCTCAACATCATCATCTTCCTCCTTGTCTACATCATCATCCTCCTCCTTATCATCCTCCACATCATCTTCCGCATCATCATCATCATCATCATCATCACCACCATCATCCTCGTCGTCGTCGTCGTCGTCAACGTCGTCAACGTCGTCGTCGTCGTCGTCGTCGTCGTCGTTGTTGTCATCATCATCATCATCACCACCATCATCCTCGTCGTCGTCGTCATCATCATCATCATCATCACCATCATCATCATCATCATCTCATCATCATCTCATCATCATCCACATTATCATGCATTATCATGCATTATCCTCCCACTCCCCCACACTGTTTGGGGTCTCTTGCCGGGATATTTGTTTGATGTATTTATTTATCTTCAAAATGTTAGTTTAGTTGCAAAACAAAAAATCGTATATAATGTCAAGTACGTAATATTGCTAGTGAACTATAAAACTACCAAGTTAATTAAACTTAGTTAATATGTAAATACATTAGGTATCAAATTGCATATAGAAACATGTATAAATATTATATATATATATTGAAATATATAATAGTATTTTCTTTACTTTACCGATATACGGTGTTGAATTTCTTTGTATATAATTTTTTATTATTAAGAGTTCTCGGATATGATATTTCTGGAATTATACTATACTCCATTTCATTTTAATTGTATTTTTGAATCATGTTATCTTCTTATTCGGCAAAGATTACACATAGGCACCTCGTTTTGCGTCCATCGGAACTTCTGCACGCCTTTGTGACAAATCCAGTCCTTTGTTGTGAACAACAGTCAAACAGTATCATTGGCCATTGGTACCAAAATTATGGTGGCAAACAGTGACGGCACATGCTCATGGTTTCAGGTGCGAAACAAGGCCACCAAACTGGCAATGGCAGTTCACGGGACAAAGATGAAGTTTTGATTTCCAAATATTTCCAATATACAAGCGGGTGTAATCTTTTTGAATTTCCCTTTATTTTTAGATCTTTGGGGTGAAAAATTATGAATCCTCCATCATCCCCTGGGAGCGGCGGCGGATTCGCAGCACTTCACTGCTTGAGCCGCCGAGCCCTGGGAATCAGCGAGGACTTCAGCAACGGTCGGTGTGTTCGAGGTTTCCTAGGTGGGGGTTCCTAAGTCATCCACTTGAATAGGATTGACCATTTTCACTCAACCAAGCGTTTTGATTCATTTTGGGGATCCATTGCAGGAAACCTCCATGGATTGAATGTTGAACCATGCTATTTTCCAAGCACTGAACGTGCCATGGTTTTAGGATTGGTTTGTTTCGAGGTTTGATCCCATATCCAATCATGGTTTTGGTTGTGTCAAGTGTCAAGTCCCAACGTTTTCTTTGAATGCAAAAAAAAAGTGGATCACAATGACCCATTCTGGTCACTTACAGTAAGTTTTGTGCTTCCGAATCCAGAAAATAATCTTAGAGAATGCCCCAAATTCACCTTTTCATTTTTGAAGAAACGTCATTTTCCCCATGGAAGTTGCCACCCATGGCCTGCTGCTCTCTCGACGCGTTGAGGGCCGACAACGCCACGTCCAACTCCTGGAGCTTGGGTCCCATCCAACTGGGGGACGTTTCATACATCTGTGTCTGTACGTATCTGTATATAAATAAATATATATATATATATAATTATTATTATATATGTATTGTATATTAGAGATACATATATATATAATAATATAATATATATATATATGTAACAGTATTGTATATTAGAATATATTAGACATTCTACGGCATTGTCAATGCATGTTATAATTAATCATAGGCAAATATACCAATTTTATAACCAGGGAATAGCAGGGATATATGCTTTGGTTACCCACTGTGGATGCACATCCACTCGGTGGCCAAGTCTGGATGTCGAAAAAATGATGAGAATGGGAGTCGGCTCACCAAAAACTGGAACTATAATGGTGGTAAAATGGTGGTAAAATTGTCATTCCAAATTATTGATAATGGATGATAATAATGTGATATTCGAGTCATATGTGGATCGCAACCCAATGCCCTCGGTTATCACACCAAACTAGACTCGCGAATGTCCATTGCCCCCACATGCCAGATACGAACCCTATGCCAGACAACCTGACAGATAGAATGTCAGAATATACGTCAGATAAAATGCCACAGAGAATGCCAGACCTGAGAAGGGGGGGACGAAAGCCAGCCTCCAAACAAATGCTCAGGCGGCGTTTCTTTCTTTGCGCTTTATGCTCTGTGTGTTGCATCTGAGAGCTGTGCACCACAGAGATCATTTTTTCGCTGCTGGCCGTTTCACCGCAGCAACCAATCCTGTTGTTGCGGCTTGGAGGATTATCCTAGAAATACTGCATGGCGAATCTTCGAAACCTTGTTGTTGCAAGGTGGTTGGAGATAGTTTTATACGCCCCATGCATAGCAAAAGAATGAAGGATCAAACGACCCAACCAAGGGTTTACCCAGGGGATCTTGCCGTTCAGCAAGCATTCGCAAAGACCTTCTACAATACAACAATCGAGTGTCTGCGATATGTTTTTCCACAAAGATGCTGCGACATAACCCCAGAATGATGGCGATACTTGAGATACATATAATATACTACAGTATCTGGTCAGGAACTAGGTGAAGTACCTCAGTTCTTGGGATCTTGGGATGTTCACCCAAGGTGACTGAGCCGGCTCGCTTTGTACAGCTGGCAGCTCTACATGAGACGACTCGTAGCGGAGGACAGGCATCGGCAATCAAATGGGCTGCTTTTCGTTCAGCGGCTGTTCCAGAGAGTGGAAGACTCTGTGAAACACCTGAAGCGCCGCGCCGGAAATCTCGAGGAAGACCAATCTTTCCGGCTAGGAAGAACCCATTAAAAGCACTTGAAAACAAGCTCAAAAATTGGTGGGCAGCGGGCTAGAGGTACATTGACCATGGAGGTAGGAGGTGAACTGAATGATTTCTCAAGTGTTGAATCACCTTGGGGCTACTGTGGATTTTCGCTTATCTAATTCTTGGATTGAATGATGCACCATGCCGGACGGCACCATGTTGGACGGGCAAAGTATGGCTGCCAAATAGCTGTCCGTTTTCCTAGTAGCTTGGCAAATTTAGTGATTTCAGTAAAAGAACTTGCTGTAGTTTGTTCATCTCATATGCCTTTGTCTGTTCGTTGAACCCATATTCCGTTGGTTCAGGCCCAGTGTGCGTGTGAATTTCCCCTGTTTTCGTTACTCAACCCCCCATGGTTCTTGGCCAAACCCCTATCTCCTTCTGTCGGCTTCAATCCCCATCTTTGGGCCTCACCAGCCCCACTTGTCCCGGGATAACGAAGTCGCCACGTCCACGCCTCAAAGTTTCGCTCCTGCTGGCTGGGGCTCCGGTGACGCAGGCGACACACCTGCTGCTGTTTGGCATTGCTGGGGTGAGTTTGGAGTTGGGTGGGCGCCGCCTTGTGGGATATAGTCTATTGTTAAGTTCGAAGAAGTCTGTACATAAATGTACCATGATATGTACATATATATATACATAGACACTAGTATACACATCTAAATGAACTTCTATGGAGTGCTACAAATGGCACCTCTTCGAGTTTCGCAAAGATCTGTCATGTGGAGTGCTGCAAATCGCACCGCGTGACCGTTTCAAAGTAAAAACTAGACGTGGTTGCTCGGAGTGAAACAAAAAGGAGTTCAGCAGCCTAATAGAAACCGATGGCAAACCCACCGCTGTACTGTATAGATATATATATATATAGCTACAGCAGAAGTCGCACAACCGTGGCTGTCATTTAACTTTCGAAAGATGCAGCATCTTCAGCCATAGCTGCGAACACTGGCAAGCCAAAAACGAGCCCCCCAACAGTGCTGCTCAGCGCTTAGCAGACTGCTCCGTACATTCGACGCTCCACAGTTGACTTGCCACTACCATCATTCAGAGCTGGGAGCTCTGCAAAGACATAGACAACGATGACAACAAAATAGTCCCACAACAAGATCTGGCAAAATCCGATTCTTGGTCAGAGTCGTTCCTGGCGTGTGTTAGGTGCATTTTGCAAGAGACGCTGCACATAAATGTATAGTGAGTAATAGTTAGTAGGGTCCAGTCAACCCAAACCTAGAGAAACCAATCATGTGGTGACCTCAATTTAAAATAAAAATGTGGAGACGGTTCAGGCAACCAATTTCTGCTTGTATAAATCGGGCATGGTTGGTGGTTTCTGGTTCTACCTAGCTCCGTTCTTGGAAAGCGATATTTCCACGTACTGGTGATTCTGTTCCTTATTCCCCCATTCGATGCTTGTAAATCACTATCTATTCCTGAGTTTTGTCTGTCTGCCAGTCCAACATCGCTGCGTGCACGATGTCAGGCTCTGGAAAGGCTGGCCAAAGCGATGTTGGCCACGAACGCACTAAGTGGTCACTAGGTGCTGCCGTGAAATTAGTCATTGGACCCACTGTCATCTCACTTGAAGCTTGGGCGAACGTCCGCTCAAGAAACAAATCATAGCCCACGGGATAATCACACAATCGCACATCATCTGCCCAGCCCTTCTGCTGCAGCTGCAAGTTCTGTAGCAGCTTGCTGCATTAACGTGTGCTGACTTTGCGATCCGTAAATCTAGACCGCACCTGAAAGGCCGAGACAATCAAACTTTGGACAAGGTCAAACAGGCCACCAAGGTTGGACCAACCAAAACCAGTTAGAAGGCTGCGGAAAGCCGGAGCCGAACCTGCGCTTCCACCAAAGCGTCTTGCGACCTCAACGGTAGGTCGTGGCAACCCTGGATTTGTGAACACTGGTTGATTAATCAACCAGGACTCCCCAGAACCACTCTCACCATATTGCTTTGAAAGCGAAGCCTCTCAATGAAAGAAACCAAACATCAGTGCCGTACTTGGGGTACGCTCCAAACCTATTGACCCTTACAAACGTGGCTTGCAGCTCTTTGTTCTCCTCATCTGACCACCAGTTCGTCACCAACTGCAAAGTCACTGCGCGACCAAAAGATATTGCTTCAAACACTGCATCAGAAAGCTTAAGATGACTTCAGCACCCTACAGCTCATGCGTCTGGAATGTCTTCAGATACTCTTGGACTTCAGTACACGATCCTTTTATCAGATGTTCAGAATGCAAAGTTCCCCAACAAGAACAAGAACGGTTTAGAGGCGATACGATTCAACCATTCCTGAAAGTGCCTTCTCCAAAAATACAGAAGACCCTAAAATGCCAACTGCAACGAGAAAGAGGAGTTTCTCTACTAGCAGCTTTTTGGCGCTGAGGTCACTGATTGTTCAAACGAACCAAAATCATAGGCAGTATTGCTGATCAGTTAGATCCCACATGATACGCGAAATATCTCTCAAAGAGATCCCCATCTTCCATGGTTCTTCTGGAAGAACCCCAAGGCTGTCCATGTGTGCCATCCTCCCAGATTCTCCGAGGGCCAACCTTTGGAGTTCTTCCGGCGGTCTTTGCAGCTCTTCGGCAGCCTGTGAAGCCACCACCAAACGCTTTACATTGTCATGTTTCTGTGGTAGCAAAAAATACAACTTTGTTTGGGATGGGCTATACTTCAAGACACATTTCCTCTACTGGTACAAGGCAAGCAGCGAATAAATTTCTAGAGCTGCTAAACCTTCACAGGCAGTCAATCAGGTCGACATTTGTACTAGATACGATCATTGCAGGCACGCAGTCGTTCTGCCATTTCGCCTCGGCTGGTGACACACCTTTGGCCTCACCAGGGCGATCAGAATTAATGATTTCAAGCGTCTTGAATCACAATCAACCCAAAGCAATTGCCGTATGCCAGCTAGTGTCTTCGTATGCATGCAATCGTCACGCCACGTCGCGTTGCCTTCTTTTGTCTGCGACGCTTCACCACACGCTTGGCCTTTGGACAGCAACACGAAAACCCGTTTTGTCAACATTCACCACCTACCTATGTCAGGCAGACAGAAACGTGTCCCCAATGCAATGCCACATTTTCACTACCAGGTGCCCCGCCAACACATCAGTGCCGGCCTCACCAACAGCGAGAGCGTTCGCTGATGCACAGCGTTGCTCAGTCAAGACGGAAAGTAACGTGTGCCAAAAGTTTTCGTGCATCAGCGACAGGATGAAGTCACATGCCATCCATTGTTTTCCCATATCGCCTTGCTTGGCGACTCACCTTTGGGTTCACCAAGTCCGGCCATGATCCCGGGTCCCAATCTGTTTTGGAAGCACAAAAATGACTGAAAAGAAACACTCCACATGCATGCAACCCTTACCCCACTTCACCTTGCCTCCTTGGCTTTTCGGCGACGCTTCACCACACGCTTTGCCATGCCACTCACTTTGATTATAGCGGCCGCGTCATAGTGCAAAAAACCGTTTGCAGCAACCACAAAAGAATGGATACAACAACATAAGAACATAGCGATCAAAAGCAAACGACAAAGATTCATAACACCAAGTTGCATACAAATATATACCTACCAAATAGAATTATGAATACAAGAAGGTTGCTACATGTATGTATCTACCATATAGAGAGAGAGAGATATATATATATATACGTAAAAGGATCAAAAGAGTCATCGATAACCGTAATATGCTCCAGTGTACCTATCTCTATTGACCTGTTGCTCGCGTATCCTACCATGACGCGTTTCCCTCATTGCCTCGAGAAAAATTCGGGCCCCAAGCAGCTCAGCCATTCCACGGGTCTCTTCGATTACAGTGCCACATCGTTGAAGCCAAACGCTTCCAGAGGCAAAATATAGACAAGCATCTCAAAATTTGTCTGGAGTCCTTGCTGGGCATGTACGGCGTTAGAAGATGCGACCCTTAACCGTGGAAATGTCATTAAGAAAGAAGAACAAAAACAATGAAACAGAATAGGAAAGAACAACAAGAGGAAGAAGTTTTACACACAGACAAACAGACCCTTTTACATACAAACCTCGTTACACAGAAACACTTTTTCACACAAACCCTTTTACACACAAACATCTTCACACAGAGACGCTTTTACACACAGACACTTTTACACACAGACCCTTTTACACACAAACATCTTTACACAGAAATGCTTTTACACACAGACACTTTTACACTACACACAGGCCCTTTTACATACAGACGTTTTTACACACAAACATCTTGACACAGAGACGCTTTTACACACAGACCCTTTGACACACAGAGGCTTTTACACACAGACCCTTTTACACCCACACACACGCTTTTTCACACAGACCCTTTTACACACAGACGCTTTTACACACAAACACTTTTACACACAGACCCTTTTACACACAAACCTCTTGACACAGAGACGCTTTTACACACAGAAGGTTTTACGCACAGACACACAGACCCTTTTACACACAGGCCCTTTTACACACAGACCGTTTTACACACAAACATCTTTACACAGAAACAAATACTTTTACACACAGACCCGTTTACACACAGACACTTTTACACAGACTTTTTTTGCACACAGGCCCTTTTACACACAGACGCTTTTACACAGAAACATCTTGACACAGAGACGCTTTTACACACAGACCCTTTTACACACAGACCCTTTTACACACAGACCCTTTTACACACACACACGCTTTTCACACAGACCCTTTTACACGCAGACGCTTTTACACACAAACACTTTTACACACAGACCCTTTTACACACAAACATCTTTACACAGAGACGCTTTTACACACAGAAGGTTTTACACACAGACAAACAGACCCTTACACACAAACATCTTCACACAGAGACGCTGTAACACACAGACCCTTTTACACACAGACTTTTTTACATACAAACATCTTTACACAGAAATGCTTTTACACACAGACCCTTTTACACACAGACCCTTTTACGCACAGACACCTTTACACACAGACGCTTTTACACACAGACCCTTTTACACACAGACCCTTTCACACACAGACGCCTTTACACACAGACGCTTTTTTCACACAGACCCTTTTACACACAAACATCTTTACACAGAAATGCTTTTACACACAGACCCTTTTACACACAGACACTTTTACACACAGACTCTTTTACACACAGACACGTTTACACACAGACGCTTTTACACACAGACCCTTTTACACACAGAAGCTTTGTCACGCAAACCCTTTTACACACAAACATCTTAACACAGAAACACTTTTGTCACAACGCCTTTACACACAAACAGCTTCACACAGCGACGCTTTTACACACAGACCCTTTTACACACAGACCCTTTTACACACAGACGCCTTGACACACAAACACTTTTACACACAGACCCTTTCACACACAAACATCTTTACACAGAAATGATTTTACGCACAGATCCTTTTACACACAGACACTTTTACACACAGACCTTTTTACACACGGACCCTTTTACGCACACACACGATTTTCACACAGACCCTTTTACACACAGCCTCTTTTGCACACAAACACTTTTACACACAGACCCTTTTACACACAAACAGCTTTGCACAGAAACACTTTTACTCACAGACCGGTTTACACACCAATTCCTCACACAGAGACGCTTTTACACCGAGACGCTTTTACACACAGACCCTTTTACACTACACACACACGCTTTTACACACAGACGCTTTTACACACAGACGCTTTTACACATAGACCCTTTTACACACAGAAGCGTTTACACACAGACCCTTTTACACACAAATATCTTTACACAGAAACACTTTTACACACAGACGCTTTTACATACAAACATCTTCACATAGAGACGCTTTTACACACAGACCCTTTTACACACAGACCCTTTTACGCACAGACACCTTTACACACAGACGCTTTTACACACAGACCCTTTTACACACAGACCCTTTCACACACAGACGCCTTTACACACAGACGCTTTTTTCACACAGACCCTTTTACACACAAACATCTTTACACAGAAGTGCTTTTACACACAGACCCTTTTACACACAGACACTTTTACACACAGACCCTTTTACACACAGACCCTTTTTCGCACACACCCTTTTTCACACAGACCCTTTTACACACAGACGCTTTTGCACACAACACAGACCCTTTTACACACAGACGCTTTTGCACACAAACACTTTTATACACAGACCCTTTTACACACAAACATCTCTACCCAAAAACACTTTTACATACTTTCACACACAGACGCTTTTACACACAGAGGCTTTTACATACAGACCCTTTTACACACAAACATCTTTACACCGAAATGCTTTTACACACAGTCGTCGTCGTCGTCGTCGTCGTCGTCGTCGTCGTCGTCGTCGTCGTGGTTGTTGTTGTTGTTGTTGTTGTTGTTGTTCTTGTTGTTGTTGCTGATGTTGCTGTTGCTGTTGCTGTTGCTGTTGTTGTTGTTGCTGTTGTTGTTGTTGTTGTTGTTGTGGGTTGTTGCTGTTGTTGCTGTTGTTGTTGTTGTTGTTGCTGCTGCATGTTTTTTTTTACATTCATTTTTAAAGCAAAAAATTGTCAAATAGGTGGTGTTTACGTGTTTTTTGAAGAGTCTCGGAGCAAAAAACACCGTAAATACCGTGTTTTTTTACGCCTCGCAAGCCCAAAACCACGGTATTTACGGTGTTGTTTGCTCCTGGTAGCAAAAACCACGGTATTTACAGTGTTTTGTGGCCAGCACCTAGCAAAAACAGTAGTATTTACGCAGTTTTCAGCATGTTGCAAGAAGTACTTTTTCCATGCCAAAAGTGCAAAAACACTGTAAATTACAGTGTTTTGGCTTTTGAAACCCGATGAAAAACGTCAGAAAACAACCAACAAGTGTCCAAAATGGAGCTTCTCTTTCAAGCTCCACAAAACGGAAGTGCGGCACGGCATTTTTGGAGCTCTCCCCAGCCAGGCTCTGGCCTCACCTTCCCAAACGGGCCCAAATCAGAGCCTCCCCCCCCCCCACACCCCCTAGATTAGCTTCCCTTCGCTTCGCTTATACCTATACTCAGCCCAGGCCTTCGGCTGGCTTTCGTAATAAAATTTTGCAAAGAATGTCAGCTAGCATGTCAGAGTACATGTCAGATAGAATGCCAGACAACATGCCAGCGACGTCAGACTAGAATTTCGGATGGGATGTCAGAAAATATGCCTAATGAAGTGTCGGCTAGAATGTCAGAACGTGTGCTAGATAGAATATCAGGATATGTCCAAAGATAAGCCAGATAGAATGGCAAAACAAAAGCTGATAGAATGTCAATTGGTGGACATCGCTGAGAAGTATTCTTGATCCATACCCATGTAAGGCTTAACAATAGATTGCCACGCGCTTCCCCCAACTTAACTAGACCATCAACTTGTTGCGTTTCATCGAACTTTCCAGGTGGTTGACCAAGCGCAAGAAAAGTTTGCATCAAACCCCTGAGATTGTAACTCCATCATGAATCATTGGCGTTATCATGATCGTTATTGTCATCGTCATCATCATCATCATCACCTCTTTGAAATCGAACTCCTCAATTTCATGGTCTTCCAAGCAGTTAGGGTACGCCAGTAGGTGATACAGGGCAATCGGCCGTGGTTTGATGCTTTGTCGAACGGGTCCGACCGTAATTTTCGATCATCCGCTTTTAGCAACGAACTTTGCCTCCGTCCCCCCAAAGTAACAGCCATCATTTTGGGTAAATTATAGTATTTATCAGTTATCAGTATGTAATTGAACAAACCTGCAATAAGGCCACTGATCTTCTCTTTGGCCCCCAAAAAGTCGTTTCCTAGCCTCAGTCTGTCAGGTCGGAAGCAAATCATACGGAGATGATTCCCATACATAAACATACATAAACCATGATTCCAGTGAGGTCACGACGTGAGGTCACTATAATTTGCAGCCCGTCCTCTGTGCAACCTTGGAGTTTCTTCTGCTTATCCTGGGGACGAAATATCACACACCGTATTTTGGCTTATCCGTTTCAAAGTTGAGCACCCAAAAGCAGTTGGTTGCGCTTCTACCTTAATTTTCTGTTGTGGTTGTATGCTAAGCTGCCTATTTGTTTGGTAGTTTGGGTCTCCATTTTGTTTTCAGTCAATTTGGAGCTTACCTGCATCATATCCCAATCTTCCCCTAGTTTGACACCCACAACTCCAGCTCGAAAACGACAAAAATCCACCATTGGGCACATAATCAAATGCTACATGCAAAGCATTGGAAACCCCCAATTTGCAAATTAGAATATATACATACATACATACATACATACATACCTACATATATATATATATATGGCCGGATATGTATGTATGTATATATATACACTGTATCCTATTCGTTGTAGGAATGGCGCTGATGTTCCTGCAAAAAATGATCTTGTCCTCCAATTTGGGGATGTCCAATTGCCATCTTCGAAAGCAGAAACACAGGTGCTTCTTAGCATTTTAAATTCGCTATAATATATATATACATATCCATACATATATCCATATATATATAATACATATAATACATATATGTGTATGTACATATCTATTCATTTACCGATAGAATCTATAGATGACCCAAAAAAGTCCTCATGGTGACCTTTCCCGCCTCCAGCGCACCTCTTCGGTGTGAAGCGAGGCCTCCAACTGTTGCACCTGGGCCCCGTGGGCCCCAGGGAATCCCTGTGGAAGTGGCGCTGAAGAGTCGGGGATATAGTAAATATGCTATGGATATAGTCATCCCCAAAAAGATGACTTGAAAACAAAATCCCTCCCTAAAGAGCTATAAGGCTACAAATCATTGTTCCATCTTTTTGAGGCCTACGAGCTATCTCATTTTGAACTCTGAAAGGTTGATGTGACCTAAGAAACTATAAGAAACTGGGAGAAAAACGCAGAGGCGACGCAGAGGTGCACTGTTCTGTTGAATGTTTCTCCGGATTGGGGCGGGATGATTGCTGTTTCAAAATCAAATGGCGCTTTCCATAAATGGAGGATCCCCAAATGGATGGTTTATAATGGACAATCCTATTGAAATGGATGATTTAGGGGTACCCCTATTTCAGGAAACCTCCATATCAAAGAAAGTGAGACAAAAAATTTCTAGAAGTGAAAAAAAGTTGTGCTGTTCTTTCGAGATTTTAGGGAATGACAGTCTCATGAAATCACATGATAATGGCATGAGCATCAGTGCAAGAAAATTGCTTCAAGACTGGCCTTACGTGCTGAAAGTCATGAAAGTTGAAGACATCCTCCCCGTGAAAATCAAATCCATGAATTTGCCATAATAAGAATCGATTGGCCCTCAGTTTATGCGCTTAATTTTAGCTCAGGAATGTGTGTTCCCAAAGATTTCAGATGAAACCATATTGGCTATGTATGGATCAAACCCTTCATCGGATCTGAGAGTTCCTGCCAGCTCCTTTCCTCTCTTCCTCAGCATGAGACCAGAAAGACTTCTCCCTCAGGATGAAAATTGCATCTATATATATATAATATACATAATATATATAATATACATAATATATATATATATATATAATATAATATACATAATATGCATATATATATATATAATATACATAATATGTATATATATATATTATAATATATATATATTACTATTATTATTATCATTATCATTATTTTTCCTATTCTGTACAAGCTCATGTGAAGCCGCTGCACTCAGGCGGCTAAAATGACCCATGCATGAAAACGAACGTTCTGAAGTGACTGCGGCTGCCGGTACCAGATTCAGTGGGTTGATGCTCAACGTCCCCCCATTTGAACGGTGAGCGATCCCTAAGCGAAGCCACTCGCATGCCTGAAGTCCACCTTGATGCCTCCGGTTGTCGTGACGCTTCCAAGAAGAACTGAAGGCCCAGAAAAAATGCAAATGGAATGGTCAGTCTTGGATAGTTTGGTAATGTTTGGTATGTTTTGTTTATTATCTAGTTAAATTGGGATACTGTACTCTATGGGCATCGATGTTGCCATGACTGTGATCATGACCATATTAAAACTATGGTATGTAAACCATACGGGGAACATTCTATGTCATAAAAAAAAGCCCACGACTGTTTTAGTAGGACTTTACCAACTTCTACCATGTCTTGTTGGAGGTTACTACACCCATCCAATTTAGGGGCTATCCAAGCTGAAACATTTTGAAGCTTACATATCCTGTCACAAAATCCAAGGGATATTTTGAATTGAAACCGTAGTTTAAAGTGCAAAAACACGGGTGTGCTGCAATTATCTCTCAAACCACCCCATTGATACTGGTGCACGAGGACGTTTGTACTTGAAGCGACCTCCTGAACAAAGGTTTCTGCACTTGCAAGTCTTCAAGTTGCTTTGCGGGCCAGAACCAACCTAGCATAACCCAACCATGATGGACAGCATCATGAGGAATGTCTATATATATATATACATACATATATACACACATTTGTCTTGAACAAAAAATATATCGAGCCCGCCTTGTCGCCATTTCGGTGAGGGCCACCACCTTCAGAGCCATGGGAGGACTCAGCCATTTGAATGGGAACATTGTGGGGGGAACCCAATTTTTATGGAATTCAACATGAATGTTACTTGGAATATAAACATATATAAACCATAATTATACAAATGTCACCAATATTTTTTGTGGGGGTTGAACACCATTACCATGATTTACCATGATTTACCATGATTTACCATGATTTACCCAGCATCGAAGATGGATTTCACCAACAAGAAGAACACTGGAGGCAGCTGTTAAGGGGGATTTGACCATGAAAAAAGATGGGGCTGTAGACCTACAGTGGATGGAAGAAATCCTCAGAAATCCTCCACCAGTTGATAGGTGGTTTCTCCCATTATTTATAGGGTTTCAACCATCTAAGGTGGTGCAGGATTTCTTCCATCCACAGGGTGAGCAGACCCACACCCACATCACCGCCAATTGGTATACCATATATACATCGCAAAAAAATAGTGTCCATGGGCTTATGTATAAAAAATATATATATACTGTATATATATATATATATATGCACCAGGCCCTGCCACCCCCCCTCCCCCCCATGGGATGGGTCCCATATACTGCCCCCATATGAGATCTTCCCCCTCCCCCCCCGTGGTGTGGTGGGGGTGTGGTACTGTCCCTCTCCCCCCCCTGTGGTGTGGTGGGGGTGTGGTACTGTCCCCTCCCCCCCTTTTGACCTAATACCTACAGAGGTGCATGCATGAGTATTGAGCACATCTATATCCGCCCTCAAGGCTCAAGAGGTATATAGAGTAACCCTGTGGACACCGCACTGACCGGCAACACGCTGAGAGTAAAAGTGTGAGCTGTCTTGGGAAGACGCCTTAGCTGATCTTGAAGTAGACGCTAGGGCCCCTCTTCAAAGGTAGAGCCCAGCAATGGCACGCCATGGCTATGATGATGATGACTTCGACATTGTCGATGAAGATGGATGGAACCAATATGACTCTTACGCAATGAGAAGAGCTCCCCAGCAAACACAGATTCACATGACGCAACAAATGACCACGAAGGTAGCTCCAGCATATGATGGAAGAACTAGTTTCTTTGCTTTTGAAGATGCAATTGATGACTGGTGTGACATCACGGAGTTAGAACCTGAGAAACGTGGACCAGCCTTGCGCAATCGACTGGAAGGAGATGCTCAACAATACAAGAGGTTGTTGGACAGAGATATGCTCAGGGATCCCAATGAAGGAGTGAACTATTTCAAAAGATTTCTACGACCTCATTTCATCAAGGGTGCCCAAAACGTGTTTTTATACTATATACCGTTTCATGCGGTTCATGAAGTTCAACAGAGGTACTATGGATCTTCAGAAGTGGATGACTAGATTTCAACTGACTGGAAACAGACTTATTGAGTCTTGGATGGATTTACTTCCTGAACCATCAGTGACAAATCCTGAAGCAATCCAATTTGTTCAACAGAAGCGACAAGAACATGAACGAGATCAGGCAGAGAAGGCTGAGTTGGCAGCAGCAACACCAGGTGCAGCTCCTCATGTAGTCATTCCCTGGTCAGATGAACTGGCATTGGTGGCATTCAGACAGTTCTAAACTCTGACTATGTGTTTTAGCAATACTCCCACACATATATACATGGAGTTATGCATATACAGATATATAGGATATAGGGTGCAGAGAAGGATGTAGCGGTTTTTGCACTTTGAAGTGAGGCTACAGAGCTGGTGAGCACAAGGTGAAAAAAGTCGCCTGTCATTGCCTGTTTTCTTGTTTTCCCTGGAAGACCAATCATCAGCCAATTTCTTTTTGGTTTCTGACTGGACACTCCTAACAGAAGCTGGATTCTTTCCATGCACCCAGGTAACCCCTGTCTTCCTGGAGAAGGAACAACCAAGGCAAAAGCTTGAATTGTACTGCACTTCTCACAGAAGTTAGAGGAGATGGGGAAATGTACAAAAACACATTCAACCTCAGTGGATGGTCTGGCACAGACAACATTTGCTATAGGTGCTATGCCACCAAAGATAACAGCAGGGATTGCACCACTTAGTTTGGAGGAGCCATGCAGAGAAAAACCACCATGGATTATTTTGTTGATTGCACAACAGAAGGAAAACAAATATCTGCATTATTTTGTGCACCAGGCTTCCAGATATAGATTGCTTTGTTATTGATTGGCTGCATGCTTGTGACCTGGGAGTTGCCCAAGATTTTCTAGTGAATTTGATTTTTTCCTCCTTGATAGATTTCCTGGAGCCAGCAAAGACAAGAGGTTGAGTTCTGTTTTTAGATCCATGCAATCTTTCTACAGGAGAAGTTCAGTGGACAACAGGCTTGATACTTTGACTATATGGGAATGCCCAGGAGGACCGACAAAAAACAAACAAAGTCTCAGCTCCCAAGCTTAGAGCATCTGCTGGAGAAACCAGGTCTCTCATACCATGGAGCTTGGAAATTGCAGAAACATTGCTGGACAAGTCCAACACATTTGAAAACACCATTTTCCATGATTGGATGCAGCCTGCTGTCCAGAGACCTTTGGAACCCACAAGAATTAGCTACAGCAGGACAAAGATTCCTGCTACTTTATGTCTCCCTCTCAATCCTGAAGGGATGTTTTGGAGGTTGAAGCCCAAGCACCACCTCTTCCATGTGAATTTGATGAGTGCTGCCCTTCTCAGAATTGGACATATAGAGATCAAGATATGGGAGAACCTTGTTTGCCCCTGGGCCATTTGGTGTTTTTTTTCCCTTGATTGATTTTAATTAGGTTTGATGCCACAGATCAATCACATCTGAGGAAATTACAATTGCTTCAACTTTACACTGTACAAATTCATGTCTCAAGACGAACTTCCAGTTGCATGAAGAGGAAAAAAGGATTTCTTGTGAAGAAGACACTAGCACACATTTGTTTTTTGTTCATCTCTTTGCCCATGACCTGAGACCTCATGCACAGGTATACATCTTGATTTGTTCAAAGATATGAAGATAAAATTCCCTGAGAGAAAGATTTCTACAAAGAGATGAGGAAAGAAAACCTCCTCAGAGGATAGTTTCTGCAAAGAAAAACAAAATCTCCTATGAGGAGATTATTACTTTTTTTTGTAAAAAGTAAAACTTTCTAAAGGACAGCAAAGAAAAAAACATATGACAATTTTGACACAAACTTAGCCATTATACCACTAAAACAGCACCAAAGCCAGATCACTTAATTAAAGTCTCCAGAAGTTCCTCCAAAAGCCCTTAATTAAGAAAATCCTGGAGACCTTAATTAAGGTATCTCCTTAATTAAGGACTATTGGAGGCTCTGGGTAGTACTGGAACGTCTTTGTGCAAGCTTTGTAGTATACGGTAGTACTGTAGTATACGGTAGACTGGACGTGTTTGTGCAAGCTTTGTAGTATACGGTAGTACTGGAACGTGTTTCTGCAAGCTTTGTCGTATGCGGTAGTACTGGAACGACTTTGTGCAAGCTTTGTAGTATACGGTCGTACTGGAATGTGTTTGTGCAAGCTTTGTAGTATACGGTAGTACTGGAACGTGGTTCGCGTGGTGCGCGTGGTGCGCGTGGTCCACGTGGTGGACGTGGTGCGCGTGGTCCGCGTGGTCCGCGTGGTCCGCGTGGTCCGCATGGTGCACGTGTCGCGCGTGGTCCGCGTAGTCCGCGTGGTGCGGCTGGTGCGCATGGTTCGCGTGGTCCGCGTGGTCCGCGTGGTCCGCGTAGTGGGCGTGGTGTGCGTGGTGCGCGTGGTGCGCGTGGTCCGCGTGGTTCGCGTAGTCCGCGGGGTCTGCGTGGCGCGCGTGGCGCGCGTGGCGCGCGTGATCCGCGTGGTGCGCGTGGTCCGCTTAATCCGCGTGGTCGGTGCGCGTGGTCCGCGTGGCCCGCGTGGTCCCAAGCTGTGTAGTATATATACGGTAGTACTGGAACGTGTTTGTGCAAGCTTTGTAGTATACGGTAGTACTGTAGTATACGGTAGTACTGGAACGTGTTTGTGCAAGCTTTGTAGTATACGGTAGTACTGGAACGTGTTTGTGCAAGCTTTGTAGTATACGGTAGTACTGGCTAGTACGGTAGTACTGGAACGTGTTTGTGCAAGCTTTGTAGTATACGGTAGTACTGGAACGTGTTTGTGCAAGCTTTGTAGTATACGGTAGTACTGTAGTATACGGTAGTACTGGAACGTGTTTGTGCAAGCTTTGTAGTATACGGTAGTACTGTAACGTGTTTCTGCAAGCTTTGTAGTATGCGGTAGTACTGGAACGTGTTTCTGCAAGCTTTGTAGTATACGGTAGTACTGGAACGTGTTTGTGCAAGCTTTGTAGTATACGGTAGTACTGGAACGTCTTTGTGCAAGCTTTGTAGTATACGGTAGCACTGAGCACTGAAACGATACTGGAACGTGTCTATGCAAGCGTTGTAGTATACAGTAGTACTGGAACGTCTTTGTGCAAGCTTTGTAGTATACGGTAGTACTGGAACGTGTTTCTGCAAGCTTTGTAGTATACGGTAGTACTGGAACGTGTTTGTGCAAGCTTTGTAGTATACGGTAGTACTGGAACGTCTTTGTGCAAGCTTTGTAGTATACGGTAGTACTGGAACGTGTTTGTGCAAGCTTTCTAGTATACGGTAGTACTGGAACGTCTTTGTGCAAGCTTTGTAGTATACGGTAGTACTGGAACGTCTTTGTGCAAGCTTTGTATAGTATACGTAGTACTGGAACGTGTTTCTGCAAGCTTTGTAGTATGCGGTAGTACTGGAACGTGTCTATGCAAGCTTTGTAGTATACGGTAGTACTGGAACGTGTTTGTGCGAGCTTCGTAGTATACGGTAGTACTGGAACGTGTTTGTGCAAGCTTTGTAGTATACGGTAGTACTGGAACGTGTTTGTGCAAGCTTTGTAGTATACAGTAGTACTGGAACGTGTTTCTGCAAGCTTTGTAGTATGCGGTAGTACTGGAACGACTTTGTGCAAGCTTTGTAGTATACGGTAGTACTGGAACGTGTTTGTGCAAACTTTGTAGTATACGGTAGTACTGGAACGTGTTTGTGCAAGCTTTGTAGCATACGGTAGTACTGGAACGTGTTTCTGCAAGCTTTGTAGTATACGGTAGTGCTGGAACGTCTTTGTGCAAGCTTTGTAGTATACGGTGGTAGTAAGCTTTGTAGTAACGGTAGTACTTGTTTGTGCAAGCTTTGTAGTAGTACGGTATGTAAGCTTTGTAGTATACGGTAGTACTGGAACGTGTGCAAGCTTTGTAGTATACGGTAGTACTGGAACGTGCTAAACCCTTTGCTAACCACTTAGCTAGCCACTTGGCTCACCACATAGCTAAGATAACACAGTTCATCATGAAGAGCCCTTAACCACTTTGCCAACATAGGCTAACCACTTAGCAAAATGCTAACCACTTAGCCTCTGAGGGCTAACGATTCGTAACCTATCTGGCTGGTTAGCTAACTTGGCTAATTGGTTGCATCACTTGCAACCCATTGCAACAAGGATACAATGCATTTAGCATGCACTTAGTATCCAGTTGTTAAGTAGCATGTTTAAGTAGGCTAAACCTATCTATCCATCTGGCAACCCCCAAGAACATTGAAGCAAGAGTCATGAAAAATTAAGGGCAAGGCCTAACAGCGAAGCACCCAAGATGGTTGAAAGGTGTGAAAGGTATTGAAAGATATTGAAAGTATAAGGCCTGACGACAGCGTAGCAGCCAAGATGGTTCAAGTCAAGGACAAGATCTTACACGGTAGCATCCAAGATGATTGAAAGACCAGGCGGGGATCTTACAGCGTAGCACCCAAGATGATTGAAAACTAAGGACACGATCAGACAGCATAGCATCAAAAATGGTTGAAAGTTAAGGACCAGATCTTACACCGTTGACCCCAAGATGCTTGAAAGTACAAGATCTTTCAGCGCAGCATCAAAAATGTTTGAATACAGCGGAGCATCCAAGATAGTTGAAATTATGGAAAAGATCTTACACCGTAGCGCCGAAGATGATCGAATGCTATTTAAGGTCGACGTCTAACTCCGTAGCATCCAAGAACATGCACACTGTTTGAGAGTTGAGAGCAATGGCAATATCTGATTATCTTATTATGTAGCATCCAGATCTTCCAAGATGTTGCTGTTCTTTGTCCTGTTTTTGTTATTGTGATTCTTGTTCTTGTTCGGTAAGGACAAGAACTTACAGCGTATCGCCTAACATGTTTGAAGGTTGTGGACAAGATCTGACAGCCTAGCACCCAAGATGATTGAAAGTTAAGGGCAGGTCTTACAGTGTGTCATCCAAGATGGTTGAACGTTAAGGACAAGATCTTACTTAGTAGCATCAATTACATGTTTGCAAGCTAAGGACAAGATCTTACACGGTAGCATCCAAGATGATTGAAAGATCAGGTCAGGATCTTACACCGCGGCATCCAAGATGATTGAAAGTTAAGGACAATTTTTCCAGCATAGCAACAGGGATGTTTGAAAGTTAAGGACCAGACCTTACAGCGTAGCATCCAATGTGCTTGAAAGAACCAGATCTTACAACGTAGCATCCAAGATGATTGAAAGTTAAGGACAAGACCCTTCAGCATAGCAACAAGGATGTTTGAAAGGTAAGGAGAAGACCTTACACAGTAGCATCAAAGGTGTTTGAAGATTAAGGGCAAGGTCTTGCAGCGCAGCATCAAAGATTTTTGAAAATCAAGGGCAAGATCTTAGACCGCAGCACCAATGATGTTCGTAATTTTCGAACAAGATCTTGCATGCAAGATCATCCAAGATATTGGAAAGTTACGGCAAAATCTTTTTGGGTAGCGGCTAGCGCCCAGGTCTTCCAAGAACTTGCTGTTCTTTCTCTTGTTTTCGTTCTTGTTGTTAATGTTGTTGTTGTCGTTGTCGTTGTCGTTGTTGTTGTTGTTGCTGCTGTTGTTGTTGTTGTTGTTGTTGTTGTTGTTGTTGTTGTCGTGGTCGTTTTTGCTCTTCTTGCTGCTGCTGCTGCTGCTGCTGCTGCTGCTGCTGCTGCTGCTGCTGCTGCTGCTGCTGCTGCCGTCGTCGTTGTGGTTGTGGTGGTTGTGGTGGTTGTGGTGGTTGTGGTGGTTGTGGTGGTTGTGGTGGTTGTGGTGGTTGTGGTGGTTGTGGTGGTGTTGTTGGTGGTGTTGTTGGTGGTGTTGTTGGTGGTGTTGTTGGTGGTGTTGTTGGTGGTGTTGTTGGTGGTGTTGTTGGTGGTGTTGTTGGTGGTGTTGTTGTGGTTGTTGTTGTGGTTGTTGTTGTGGTTGTTGTTGTTGTCGTCGTCATCATTGTGGTATTATTATTCTTCTTTTTTCTTCTTCTTCTTCTTCTTCCTCTTCGACTTATTGTTCTTGTTATTTTTTTGTTCTTGCTTTTGTTCTTCACTTTGTTCTTGTTTTTGTTTTGTTGTTGATGTTGCAGTTCTTGTTCTTAGTCTTGTTCTTGTGGTTGTGCTCTTCTTCTTGTTCTTGTTCTTGTTCTGTTCCTTGTTCTGTTTCTTGTTCTTGCTCTTGTTCTTTATCTTGTTCTCCTTGTGTCCATTGTTCTGCGTGTTCTTCTTGTTCTTGTTCTTCATGTTCTTTCTGTTCTTGTTTTTTCTTGTTGTTGTTCCTGCTCTTAAAGTAATTGTTGCAAGGCTTGGTCACGACATCTGCCACGCACCTTGCCATTTTTTGCAGAAAGTTACATGCAAAGTGCCGGACGCCCTGGATACCACCTCGATTGCTCACCGGACCTTCGCCATTTCCGTACGAACCCCTCTTGCTTTCCTTGTTGCTATTCTTGTTGTTCTGGTTCTTATCCATCGTGTTTCTGTCACAACTCTTACCAAGCATGAGCTAACTGCCAAATAGCCTCGAACTGTCCATCGTACGGGGGGAGGGGGGGTGGAGAGACGGAGGACGGGACCATATATACTGTATATATATATATTATACTTATATATATATATATATATCATACGGGTATTATATTGTAAGATCATTTTGCATACACCATCTTCGCTAAAACTCAAACGCTCAGAGTGGCTCGACTGGATCCCTCAACCGTGCCCAGGCCATCATATGGACGGGCAGCCGCCTGGTTTCGGGCATCCTGCGGCTGTCGGTTGCACCACTGGGGGTGGGTCAGAACCTTGGTACCCTAAGCCTTGCGACCATCTGAAGAATGACCACAATAGACTGTCGTGGACTGTGAGTGACCCAATTTTGAGGGGTTATTTTGACCAATTAGCGACCATATTGTCATCTCTGAAAATGTACGTTCCGTCATGTACAAGACATCTCAAGAAACTGATGAAAATCCATCTGGCCAAGGCTAATCATGGTTTGCCACATTTGGTGATTTTAGGATGATTCCCAACTATGGTTTATAAGTTATGATGGTTTATGACGATAATTGTGTTTTTACATATATATATATATATCACTGATATACCAGTAGTACCGCACAAGGCGGTGGCGGAAGTTTCAAAAACAGGAAACCTATAGGAAAGGTTGGCTGTTGTGAATCACGGATGGCAGAGCGAAGCCACTGATGGATCGAAAGGTGCTTGATGTCTCCTCTCTTTCTCTCTCTTTCTCTCTCTTTCTCTGACTATCCACCTACCTACCTATCTATCTACCTATGTATCTATCTACCTATCTATCTATCTATCTATCCATCTATCTATCTATCTATGTATGTATGTATGTATCTATGTATGTATGTATGTATGTACGTATCCATCTATCCATCTATCCATCTTTCTATCTATCTATCCATCCATCTATCTATCTATCTCTCTCTCTCTCTTTCATCTGTCTATCTGTCTAGCTGTCTACTGTCTATCTATCTATCTATCTGTCTATCTGTCTACCTGTCTATCTGTGGTGCAGTGTCATTCAATGTAATGTAGTGTAGTGTAGTGTAGTGGAGTGTAGTGGAATGTAGTGTAGTGTAGTGTAATGTAGTGTAGTGTAATTTAGTGTAGTGGAGTGTAGTGGAGTGTAGTGGAGTGTAGTTGAGTGTAGTGTAGTGTAATGTAGTGAAGTGTAGTGGAACGTAGTGTAGTGTAGTGTAATGTAGTGTAGTGTAGTGGAGTGTAGTGTAGTGTAATGTAGTGTCGCGTAGTGTAATTTAGTGTAGTGGAGTGTAGTGGTGTAGTGGAGTGTAGTGGAGCTTAGTTGTGTAGTTGTAGCTGTAGTGTAGTGGAGTGTAGTGTAGTGTAATGTAGTGAAGTGTAGTGTACTGTAGTGTAGTGTAGTGTAATGTAGTGTAGTGCAGTGTAGTGGAGTGGAGTGTAGTGTAGTGTAATGTAGTGTAGTGTAATTAAGTGTAGTGGAGTTTAGTGGAGTTTAGTGGAGTGTAGTGGAGTGTAGTGGAGTGTAGTTGTGTAGTTGTAGTGTTGTGGAGTGTAGTGTAGTGGAGTGTAGTGGAATGTAGTGTAGTGTAGTGTAATGTAGTGTAGTGTAATTTAGTGTAGTGGAGTGTAGTGGAGTGTAGTGGAGTGTAGTTGAGTGTAGTGTAGTGTAATGTAGTTTAGTGTAGTGGAACGTAGTGTAGTGTAGTGTAATGTAGTGTAGTGTAGTGGAGTGTAGTGGAAGATAGTGTAGTGTAGTGTAGTGGCGTGTAGTGTAGTGTAATGTAGTGTAGTGTAATTGAGTGTAATTGAGTGTAGTGTATTGGAGTGTAGTGTGGTGTAGTGGCGGTTGTAGTTGAAAATGCTACAAAACCCTCACGTTTTGCCCACTTTTGACAAGGTGCACAATTCCTTGCGCCTGCCACGCGAAGCGACATCTGAACGTCCAAAAGTGCTCCGTACCCCTCAGTTTTTGCACTTTTGACTTCGACATGTGCTTCGCGCCACAACGGCGTGCACTTTTTCGACAGTCAGTTTTTTGCACTTTTGACTTCAAAATGTGCTTCGCGCCACGGCGTGCACTTTTTCGACATCTGAACTTCCAAAAGTGGTCCGAGAATGGTGTATTTTGTACATTTTGACTTGGAAATGTGCTTTGTGCCACAACGGCGTGCAATTTTTGATCTCTCATCTGGCCAGCTGGCTCCGCACCCGCCGCTTTAGCGAGCCTACTTTTCGACCCTCCGGAGCCCCAAATCATTGGAAAAACACAGTGTCTCGCGACTTTCCTACCTTTTCTCGCATCTGCATCTGCTTTCTTCTGACTCTTTCTCTTCTACTCTTCTTTCTTCTAATCTTTCTCTTCTCTCTGCCTCTTCCCTTCTCTGCTTTTCATCTGTCCATATTGTCGGAAGTTTGACTTTTAAACTTCCTTCGATAATGATATATACATAATTATACTATGCTATAATGATCTATGCTATCAATATACGTATATATATATATATACATATGTATAACTTAACTAATATGATCATTTATACTATGCTTGTATCATCTACATTGCCAGGAAAAAACGGAGCCTGCAATGCATCGCTGCTGGAGGCCAGTGCTTGATGCAGCTCCTGAAGCTCCGAGGCTTAGATCTAAAATTCATGCAGAGCTGTCCAAAAATTGGATTGACTATGGATTTACCATGGATTTACTATGGATTTACTCCGAAATTGCTCGAAGTCTGCGGAAATTGATGACAATCTGTGATGCTTGCAGAGATTCTGCTGTTGCCAAATGCTGCCCGGCTGATCTCCTCCACGGCAGCTTCCAATGCCTGGTGTTTAAAAAACCACGAACCAATCTAACACCAGAAGAAACAAAAGCTATAATTTGCTGTTCTCATGCGAATACGAACATGAATAGCTCGGAATTATCATTTATAGTAATATAAATGTACGTATATGTAATGTTCATAAGTCTGGGGGCAACGCTGAAACGACCGAAAACACCAACATGTTGGTGTCGGTGGGGTCTCTGCCTCTCTTCTCCCCAGTTCCTTGTGGAAATGGACCTGGGTTTCACTGGGTGGATAGGCACCGAATGGCAAAAAGATACTGAACTACAATATCGATATGGAGGGTTCCACAAATGGTGGTGCCCCAAAATGGATTGTTTATAATGGAAAAACCATCTATAAATGGATGATTTGGGGGTACCCATATTTCATGACTTAGTATTGAAACCCATATGGTGACGACTGGGGATCCCCAATATTAAGCAAGCCTTCAAAAATGAGTCATTTTCAATTTTCAGCGATTCTTTATCTGATACCACTCCCATGTCTGATACCCTCCGGCAATCAAACATGGCTAGCTGGGAAATCAGATATGAATGGAGGTTCTAATGGGAAAAACATCAATAAATGGAGGAATAGATCATTTAGTAAGGGGTTACCAACAAAATTCTGATCTACCTCCCATTTGCATGTGAATAATAAAAGTCATCTTTGCTCAGTTCCAGGGTTGAGTATGATATCTTGTGTTTCTGAAAAGTCGCTTTGTCCAACCAATCCTGAGTTCAATGGTCTACTTACTCTCTCGCAATCAAAGGTTGCAAGCTTCCCCTGTCTAGGTTGACATACTTTTTTTGGTTCTCTCAATTGCAGACCTCAGAACCATGGAATTCCACACCCTAAAAATGACTGCTTCTGGTAGTTTTGGGCTCGTTGTGAACCCGGCGCTTCCAGATATAGTCCTCTAGCTCTGTGCAACTGGCTGGTGCTGTCCCAGGTTTCAGGCGATGTAGAGGCTGCAGAGCAATAAGGCGTTCCTGCATCAATGACCACTCCAGTTTGGAACTGGTTGATACGGCTAGGGCTATATACCCTCTGGTAATTTAACATAGCTATTAAAAATAATGCCCATTTGAAGTTGATTTACCGTTCTTAAAGATTGTGTTTCCATAGCTATGCTAAATTACCAGAGGGTAACCCATTCATAAGCGATGGCTTTGTTGCAATGTTTCCAACGGGACCCGGTCCCAAGCAGTCCCAAGCAACAAGGCGCGATTGCCGCAGATGCACCATCTCCGAACAGAGCTGAACCTGGAAGGAAAAAATGCTCGAAGCATATATATATATATGTACATATTCATTAAAATACGTGTGCATATCATAACTGATCGGCAGCCAAGCAACAGCAACGCGCATGTTTCCTTGGGCATGAAAAGCCTTCGCTGGATACACATTGAAACGTGTATGTTGCATGAAAGTGTATGTTGCATGAAAGTGCAGGTGCTCTCGGTAGGGCTTAGGTGCAACACCCCGCCTTTTGCGTAGACATATTCCGTTTTGGATTGTCTTAGCAGACTCTGCACAAATTAAAATTTCACGGTGCATCTGCTTCGTCGTGCACTGGTGGATCCTTTGGGTTCTCGTCCGCCGGCACCGTTCTGCCTTTGCCACCGACCTTTCCCTTTCCTTTGGGCCGGTCTGTAGAACTTCCAACCGTCACATCTGGGATCTCTGTCACCACTGGATCCTCAGCTGCGGTTTCCACTTCCACTTCAACTTCTTCTTCTGATTCTTCTCGTTCCGTAGCGGAGAATGAACTCTCGTAGCCAGGGTCTCGAGGTTGTTCATCACCTGTCGAATGCCCCCAGCCGTAGTGTTTCGCTGCCCATTCATCCGGCAGCATGCTTTCTTCTTGTCGTTCTTTTGGTGGAATGCGGCCCATGCGGTCCCAGAATTCGTAGCGCCTCCTTCCAAGCAAGTAGTTGATGGCACGCTTTCGAACTTCTGGGCCACCGATCTGCACCGACCTTTGGATATTCATCAATTCTCTGATTTCGTTCCAGACTGCCTGGTTCATCTGCAGGGTTTGGAGCCATTCCAACTGTTTCATCACATAGTGCTCCACGCCAGAGTTGTTGAAAAGTAATTCCCAACGGTACTCGTCGTAGGCGTCGACGTCCATGTTCTCAAACGTCTCGAAATCTTCGTTTGCTATCTGCAATGAACCGTAGTCTGTTGTGGCGTAGCTTTCCTCGCCATCCTCTTCCATATCTTCTCCATCGTCATTCTCGACGTCATAGTCATAGCTGTCGTTGTGGTCGTTGGTAGCCATTCGAACTGAAATGCTGTCAAGACCATCTTCTTCTCCATGTCCACCAAATTCGATATCGGCTTCTGCTCCACGATCTTCGCCATGTCGATCTGGGCCTTGTTCCAAAACGCCCCAAACTGCTTCTCGTTCTGCAGCATCATCGTCGACCACATCGTCCTCAGCCATCTCAGCGTCAGACTCTTGTTGTTCCTCTTCCATGTTGTTCTCGGTCCTTTCCAATTTCACACTGCGGATGTGTATCTCCTTGTCTTCTGAGAAATCTGACCTTCTGATTCTCCACCTTCGCAAAGCTCTATGCACAGCCTTGCAATCTGTGCTTCACGTGCTTCTCGACGAACTCGTAGGCGATTTCTGCGTTCACCTTCTGCTTTCAAGATTGATCTCACCTCCCTGACCATGCCCCTGTGGTAGTTCGCCAAATAGCGGTACTTGTAGGCCATGTAAGGACACGCGAACCACCAAGACAATCAACGCAATGATGACCATGATCAGGAAGTAGACCATTGCCTCTGAAGACGTAGTAGGCCTCTGAGGTTCCAACATGGTTAAGCATCCACCATCATCAGCCAGGCTCAAGGCTTCACCCACATCTGCAAGTAGTGCGGCCAAAGTGAGCCGCATCAGCTTCTTTGCCACCTGGTTCATCAGGGTGCTGGACTGTTGCTCACCAGCTTCTGTCACTTCATGGTGAATGACAGCCCTGATGCTCCTCAATTGCTCTCGCTTCTCTTTCTTTTCCTTCTCCTCGTCAAACTCTCTGAGTCCAAGATTGCCCTCTGCGTTGTTGTAGTTGATGAGGTACAGGAGCAACTTGACACGCTTGCCTGAAAGTGTTTTGGTTCCCACGTCCGAAGGGTTTGTCATGGTGTCAATCTTCCGCAACTGGAAGTCACGGCCTTGTCGCTGCTGCACCCGCAACAGTTTTCCTTCAAGGTGCTTGATCTTGGACCACACCTTCCTTGGATGCAATTGCAATCGCTGATGTGTTGTCAGCGTGCAGCTTCATCTCCACGTAGGGTCCAACCAAATGTTCCAAGACTGCTTTGAGAAGTTGTCCTTCACTGGCTCCAGAAACCAAAGTAACGTACTCAAATTCAGTGCTGCTCAAAGTGATGTTTCTTTGGGTGCGGCTGTATGAATACACCCAGTTTCCACCAACAAACACGCATCCACTGCTGGTAGAAGACCTCGAAGATCTGTTGCCACTCCAGTCGGAATCTGTTGCCACTTCCAACAACCAGCACTGCTTGTTCTCCGCGTACTCTGGCACTGAAGTCAGTCCTCGTGCTCTTGTTCTGAAACTTCTCAAAGGGTCGTTGCCGTCCATCACCACATGAATGTCCTTCCTGTAGAGCAAGTAGCCCATCACGTTCAGCAACGTTGACATAGCTCCTTTGGTAGGGCTCGAAAGTTTCGATGCCAGCTCTTTGGTGTGGTACTGGATGTCGGGTCTGTCACCTGCAAGGTAAAGCAAAGTGCCAACCCCGCTTCGATATCGGCTGATGTCATCCTCATTGGTAATCAGCTCCTCGTCAATGACCCACTCACCCAGGGCTCGCTTCAGCTTGATGCCACCAAAGAGTGTGACCAAACCATCCAAATATTTGCTGCTCATCTGAACCTTGGTCTTGCCATCCTCCTTCATCAGGGTTCTTTTCAAGAAGTTCACTTGCTCACCAGTTTCCAACGAAACCTATTGTAGTTCTCCTCCAGGTGCTTCAGCAAAGAGTTCATCGCCTCATCCGTGCCTGTCACAATGAGGTCGTCCACATGGATGAGCAACGCAATTGTGTGATCACTGTTGCTCCAAATTGTAGGTGCTTCGGCACATTGGATGAGACCTGCCTTCTGAAGGGTCCCTTTGAGGTGTTGGAACCACTCTGCTGCTCCTTCTCTTTGTCCTGGAAGAACTCGGCCTAAAAGCCAATCTCTCGGGATCTACAAAGCTTCTGCCACCTCCTTGTCCACAGTGACTCGAACGCTCTTCTTCTCCGGACACATGAGGTAGGCGTCCTTGACATCCAATGTAGCCAGCTTCCATCCTCGAAGTTGTGCAATACGTGGGATCAGCCGCAAAAGACTTTGGCCTCCAGCAGGTGCAAAAGTGTCAGTCCTGTTTGGGTTGACCCATGCATAGTCTCGAGCAACCAGTCTTGCTCGTCTTCGCCATTGGTTGTCTCTCCGCCTCCAATCCAGCACAAACCTTGTGGTAAGCTTCTCGGCGTGGTCCAGGTTGGCGCCCTCTGCACTCACCAAGACTCCCATTTCCACCAAACGTTTGATCTCCTTCTCGATGGACTTGGCCTCCACGTTGAACAGCTCATCTGGGCTCAGCGTTGGCGGTTGATCAGGAAGCTCCAAATCTGCATCACCATCTTCCAAAAGCTCACCTGCTACCACCATTCGAACTTGGGCATCTCCTTCAGGTTGTGGTTGATCGGAACCTGAAGCAGTCGAAGTCGAAGTTGGATCACCTCCATCTCCAAGACGTGGTGCCTTCCTTGTTGTAGAAGGTTTCGATGCCTTGCTCGGGCTCTGAATCTCCTCATCCACTGTCTCACCACCACGTTTGGGAGAGATGTCAACTCCAGCCTCGTAGAAGTTGTCCTCCTGGATGTTTTGCATGAGGTCCTCCAAAACCGTGTCATCAGCAATTGACCTTGGTGCCATTGAAGTACTTGCCGAAGATGCCTCACCTCCAGTAGAACTGGGGTCCGTAGCTGCTTCATCATCCAAAGACCCTGCCTGCCTCTGATCTCGTCCATCGCCAGCAGGCTGAACTTGTAGTGGTTGATGTTGGCGCCTCCCTTCCAAGCGCTCTCACGAAGATCACCTCCATAAAGTCGAAGGTCTTCCTTGTCAGCTTCCGTGGGCTCTGTCAACCCACGGGTGAAGCAATAGTCCATGCTGATCACAGGGAACTCCGACTTGGCCTGCATGCGAAGTTCATCCTCAGCTTTTCGTCGATGTGGATGAGCTTTTCCCCTCGCTGCAACACATTGCATGCACCAATCTTCGGAAGGCCAATGTGTCAGCTTGTGGATCTGTCTCTGATTTCGTTGGCAGCCTTGGTATGGACTGCGGCCTCACACCATCACCTCCTTCAGCAAACTTCCTCCTCTCAAACTCACGCCTCGCCAATTCAGCTCCAAGCGTTTCGGCAAAATGCCGATGGTGTTCAGACAACCTTTGCCAAGCCTGTGCCTTGCTTCTGCCCTTTGGCAAACCATATAGACGAAGTCCCTCACGGAGTTTTCTCAGGCTTGACTTGGCTGTGTATTTCTCTCCATCGATGTCTATCTCTTCGATCACCTCCTCATCTCCCACCTGTGCTGCTTGTTGGCGACGAAACGGATCATCATCTACTGCTTCATGCTGTTGTCCCATTTCTTCTTCCTCATCATCAACTTCGCAAACTCCATCCTCAAGGGTTTGACCGAACCAACCAAAACCTTGTTGTTCCCGTTGACGATCTCCACCATCTTTGCGTTCTCGAAGTCGAGGTTGAAGGAAGGGATCATCTGCTCCGGTGTGGATGATTCCAACTCCATTCACATCTTCCATGTTCTGGTGAAAGAAGAAGATTGCTGTAGTTTCCTGGCCCTCGCACTCCTCAATCTCAGCTTCGTCTTGACGACGTTCAGCAACTTCCACAACTTCCCAAATGTTGCCCTGCTGAACCACCGTGGACCTGAAAGGAAAGTCGTTCCGGTTGAACTGCGGGTAACTCTCCTTGAAGTGCTTTGTGTTGTGCACCACAAGGAATGGTACTCGGCGATCAAGTGAAAGATGCCGTCACCAAAGAGTTGTGGCGGCTCTGGACAGCCATGTTGAACTCCCCAAAGCTCAAGTAGACCTCACCATCATGGCCCTCTACTTTCCAACCTTTCTTCAACAACTTCCCAAGTGCAAGGAGAGGTTCAGCCACATTCGAAAGCGCAAACGTCTCCTTGATGGCTACCATGTTGCCAGCTCCATCGACCATTTCCACCAAAGCTTCTCGAAGAGCTCCACCAGGCATGATGTTGCCTTGAGCATCCCTGAGGACACTTTTCTTACCCAAAGCAAAACCAACATTCATGTACTCCAAGGGCAGCACGGACATGTCTGCGCCACTGTCCAAAATGATCGGCGTGGCCTCATTCACAGTCACCTTCCTGATGTTCACCTTATCCTATCCAGGCGGACTCGAACCACCATCCATGCCATGCTCACCAGCGAAGTCCTTGATGCCGTCTGTGAACTTCGTGAAGTAGGTGGTGTCACCATCTCCATTTTCCTCACAGATGCACCATTCTCCATCGCTGTCGCTATAAGTCATGTCGTAAGACTCACTGGCCTTGACGACTCGAACCAAGGGCTCCTCCATGGGCTCATCCAAGTCGTTGAGGTTGACCTGGATGATTCTCCTCACCTGTGTCGACTGCTGTGAACTTGCTGCAGCCTGACTGGCTGATCCACTTGAAGTCAGCGAGTCAGCGCCTGAGAAGTCGCTGTAGATCCAGCATCGTTTGATGCCACCTGTCTCAAGGTTCGCACTGGACACAAAGTTTGCAAGTGTCAGCCGGTATAGGAGCAGGCCCACCATCATCTGAAAGTCTCGAATTGCACAAAGCCATAGCCTCCGTCCACTTGATGTTCGCCCTGTCGTAGTTGAGGATCATCTCACGTAGCGCGTCATAGCTTGCATCTTCTCGCAGACTCACATTGATGTGCATCCGAAGTTGGCCTGTGATGCACCTCAGCAAGATTGCGAATTTCATCTCAGCTGCAAGAGGTTGGGCTGAGATCTTGTCATACTCTCTGAACGCCTCCTCGAGCTTGACGATCTGGGCCAAGAGCGCGGATTTCATGTGAAGGATCCTTCCATCCCATCAGCGCGTTCAAGATTCTCAGACTCCTGTTTCTGCTTGTAGGTTGACATTGAAAAACTAGCTGACGAAGTGCCTCATAGCCATTGTTCTCGGAGACACCTCGAAGCACCGTCAGAAGTCGTCCACGAAGTAGCGATGCTAAGAGGCCACACAAAAGCATGGACCTCTTCTTTTCATCATCACCCATCAAGCCAGGGTCCTGGAAGACATCGGAGTGGGTCTCTATATACTTTATCTCTGACTCGTACTTGTGGTCGAGGGTGCACAAGTACTGGTTGACACCCCAAAACCATTCTCTCCACTGAGCTATCTCCTGGTCGTAGTCCTTTGGGTCAAAGATGTTGGGCTTTGGCAACAACTTGAACCAGTCAGTTGGCTTCGAAGACGAACTCCCACCATCCTGAGCTTGCTGTTGGAAAAGTTGAACAGCTTGGGCTGTACTGCTGCTGCTTCTGCTGCCTGGAGAATTCTTCTGGCCAATTCTCCTCCATCTATTTGTTGCATTCCACCTGGGCTCATAGGCGGTGACCCTTGGGGACTGGTTTGTCCCATTTCACTTCCATCAGTTGCCATGGATCTCCAGTTTCTCGCTCCTCTCTGGGATCACCTTGTCCTCCCCAAGCTTAAAGCGCCTTGGATGCCACCAAAGGCTCCGCTGCCATGATTGGCAGCCAAGCAACAGCAACGCGATTGTTTCTTTGGGCATGAAAAGCCTTCGTTAGATACACATTGAAACGTGTACGTTGCATGAAAGTGCAGGTGCTCTCGGTAGGGCTTAGGTGCAGCAATAACATATATATATTGTATATATTATCATATCATATCATATCATATCATAACATAACATGATATATGTATGATACTGTGTATATATATATAATGATATTATCCTCTCGTGTGCGGTCACTCAATGTTCGCATACCATCCAATAACTTTATCCACGTTTTTCATTGCACTATATAAAAGTCTATAAAGTAGATTGCAAATCCCTTCGCAGGAAGCTCTTGGATTGAATTCTGCTTGGCAGCCCGGCAATTTTCCCAGCAGGTTGCGGCCATTCAACATGGCACAGTTTTTTCACGCCAGTGCCATGAGTTCTTCCCTCCAATGGACACCGGATAGCTCCAATATCACCGGATGAACTTAGGCTGCCAGCTGCGGGAGTTGGACGTTGGAAATCAAAAGTTTTGAGTTTTGACTGTCTTTGGAAGCGGGTTGCTTGTGTCTTCCTGTGTTTTCTAAGTTTAAAGGTATTGGTTTTTGTTGCTATTCTACAGGCAAAACATGCATCTCCGTGCATCTCTCCATGTCTGCCTATCCTATGTCTGCTTGACGACGCGCTCACGATCGCAAGATATCACATGCACCGTGCCATCTGAGATGGCCCAATCGTTGACCATGGGTGCTTGCAAAATCTGGGGATAACCTAAGTCACCCGTGCCAAATGTATGATATACATGGTAACTATGCTAGTTACAATTAGTTACGATTGTAAACCATAGATGAACCAATCATCAACAATCTGCACAGCATCCCAGTGAGCCACGCCATTCCGCGCCCAAGATCCGCTGATTAAGATTGTGCGCTCAGATTGATAACTCACAAAACCTGGTGGTTCATCGGATTTATGAAATTGTCTCAGATCTTTCACCTGCATTTGTGTAAATGCGCTACTTGCACTTACCAGTAGTGTCTGCTTTTGGTATGGGGTCAAACGAGCATCATGAAAACCTGATTCCTTTTGCGTCGATTGTTTCCGTGAAGCTGAAAGGAACACCACAAGGGGAAAAATATGACCATCGCCCATCAGGTCACAGTATACTTGGTGAACATAAATCTTGACCCACACCCATGGCTAAATCCTCGTTCCAATTACTTGTCGGTCGAGTTTTTAGGGTATGAATTAATGCCACTTGATGGTGTTCAGTGCAACACGTCTCCTTTCCTAGCAGGGTGTGCAGATCTCAAGGAGGTATCTCTTCTTCAGCCCCCCGTACTGATCTTCAGGGAAAACTGAAATGTTGGAAGATGAGACTGTGATTAAGCACGCGTAAAATAAGGTCACTAACAGCGGAAAAACTAGAGTCACTAAGCGCGCATAAACTGGGTCACTCCAAGCGCATAACTGTCATTTATGTGGATCAAAATTGAATCTAAAAGCTTGAGATACCTTGCCATACTCGAGAAACTGAGATTCCAGCCCCGTAGCTTGAGATACTCAGATTCTAGCTTGAGATACTCAGATTCTAGCTTGAGATACTCAGATTCTAGCTTGAGATACTCAAGGTATCTCAAGGCTCGGAACGGCTCAAAAGGAGCTGGGGAACTGGAAATTCAGTATCTCAAGGTATCTCAAGGTATCTCAAGGTATCTCAAGGTATCTCAAGGTATCCCAAGGTATCTCAAGGTATCTCAAGGTATCTCAAGGCCCGGAACGGCTCAAAAGGAGCTGGGGAGGTGGAAATTGAGTATCTCAAGGTATCTCAAGGTATCTCAAAATATCTCAAGGTATCTCAAGGTATATCTCAAGGTATATCTCAAGGTATCTCAAGGCTCGGAACGGCTCAAAAGGAGCTAGGGAGCTGGAAATTGAGTATCTCAAGGTATCTCAAGGTATCTCAAGGTATCTCAAGGTATCTCAAGGTATCTCAAGGCTCGGAACGGCTCAAAAGGAGCTAGGGGGCTGGAAATTGAGTATCTCAAGGTATCTCAAGGCTCGGAACGGCTCAAAAGGAGCTGGGGAGCTGGAAATTGAGTATCTCAAGGTATCTCATCTCAAGGTATCTCAAGGCTCGGAACGGCCCAAAAGGAGCTGGGGAGCTGGAAATTGAGTATCTCAAGGTATCTCAAGGTATCTCAAGGTATCTCAAGGTATCTCAAGGTATCTCAAGGTATCGCAAGGCTCGGAACGGCTCAAAAGGAGCTGGGGAGCTGGGGAGCTGGAAATTGAGTATCTCAAGGTATCTCAAGGTATCTCAAGGTATCTCAAGGCTCGGAACGGCTATAACAGGGAGCTAGGGAAAATTGAGTATCTCAAGGTATCTCAAGGTAGCTCAAGGTATCTCAAGGCTCGGAACGGCTCAAAAGGAGCTAGGGAGCTGGAAATTAAGTATCTCAAGGTATCTCAAGGTATCTCAAGGCTCGGAACGGCTCAAAAAAGGAGCTGGGAGCTGGAAACTGAGTATCTCAAGGTATCTCAAGGTATCTCAAGGCTCGGAACGGCCCAAAAGGGGCTGGGGAGCTGGAAATTGAGTATCTCAAGGTATCTCAAGGTATCTCAAGGTATCTCAAGGTATCTCAAGGTATCTCAAGGCTCGGAACGGCTCCATCTCAAGGTATCTCAAGGTAGCTCAAGGTATCTCAAGGCTCGGAACGGCTCAAAAGCTCAAGGTATCTCAAGGCTCGGAAAGGCTCAAAAGGAGCTGGAGCTGGAAATTAGTATCTCAAGGTATCTCAAGGTATCTCTCAAGGTATCTAGGGAGCTGGAAATTGAGTATCTCAAGGTATCTCAAGGTATCTCAAGGTATCAAAAAAGGAGCTGGGAGCTGGAAACTGAGTATCTCAAGGTATCTCAAGGTATCTCAAGGCTCGGAACGGCCCAAAAGGGGCTGGGGAGCTGGAAATTGAGTATCTCAAGGTATCTCAAGGTATCTCAAGGTATCTCAAGGTATCTCAAGGTATCTCAAGGCTCGGAACGGCTCAAAAGGAGCTAGGGAGCTGGAAATTGAGTATCTCAAGGTATCTCAAGGTATCTCAAGGTATCTCAAGGTATCTCAAGGTATCTCAAGGTATCTCAAGGTATCTCAAGGTATCTCAAGGTATCTCAAGGTATCTCAAGGCTCGGAACGGCTCAAAAGGAGCTGGAAAACTGGAAATTTAGTATCTCAAGGTATCTCAAGGTATATCTCAAGGTATATCTCAAGGTATCTCAAGGCTCGGAACGGCTCAAAAGGAGCTAGGGAGCTTGGAAAAAAAGGTATCTCAAGGTATCTCAAGGTATCTCAAGGTATCTCAAGGTATCTCAAGGTATCTCAAGGGATCTCAAGGTATCTCAAGGTATCTCAAGGCTCGGAATGGCTCAAAAGGAGCTGGGGAGCTGGATCTAAAATATCTCTAAGGTATCTCAAGGTATCTCATCTCAAGGTATCTCAAGGCTCGGAACGGCTCAAAAGGAGCTAGGGAGCTGGAAATTGAGTATCTCAAGGTATCTCAAGGTATCTCAAGGTATCTCAAGGTATCTCAAGGTATATCTCAAGGTATCTCAAGGTATCTCAAGGCTCGGAACGGCCTCAAAAGGAGCTGGGGAGCTGGAAATTGAGTATCTATCAAGGTATCTCAAGGTATCTCAAGGTATCTCAAGGCTCGGAACGGCCCAAAAGGAGCTATATAGGGAGCTGGAAATTGAGTATCTCAAGGTATCTCAAGGTATCTCAAGGTATGTCAAGGCTCGGAACGGCTCAACAGGAGCTAGGGAGCTGGAAATTTCACATCTCAAGGTATCTCAAGGCTCGGAACTCAAAAGGAGCTGGGGAGCTGGAAATTGAGTATCTCAAGGTATCTCAAGGTATCTCAAGGTATCTCAAGGTATCTTAACGTATCAAGGTATCTCAAGGCTCGGAACGGCTCAAAAGGAGCTGGGGAGCTGGAAATTGAGTATCTCAAGGTATCTCAAGGTATCTCAAGGCTCGGAACGGCCCAAAAGGAGCTAGGGAGCTGGAAATTGAATATCTCAAGGTATCTCTAGGTATCTCAAAGTATCTCAAGGCTCGGAACGGCTCAAAAGGAGCTGGGGAGCTGGAAATTGAATATCTCAAGGTATCTCAAGGTATCTCAAGGTATCTCAAGGTATCTCAAGGTATCTCAAAGTATCTCAAGGTATCTCAAGGTATCTCAAGGTATCTCAAGGCTCGGAACGGCTCAAAGGAGCTGCAGAGCTGGAAATTGAATATCTCTAGGTATCTCAAGGTATCTCAAAGCTCGGAACGGCTCAAAAGGAGCTGGGGAGCTGGAAATTGAGTATCTCTAGGTATCTCAAGGTATTTCAAGGTATCTCAATGCTCGGAACGGCTCAAAAAGGAGCTAGGGAGCTGGAAATTGAGTATCTCAAAGTATCTCAAGGTATCTCAAGATATCACAAGGTATCTCAAGGTATCTCAAGGTATCTCAAAGTATCTCAAGATTTCTCAAGGTATCTCAAGGCTCGGAACGGCTCAAAAGGAGCTGGGGAGCTGGAAATTGAGTATCTCAAGGTATCTCAAGGTATCTCAAGGCTCGGAACGGCTCAAAAGGAGCTGGAAAACTGGAAATTGAATATCTCAAGGTATCTCAAGGTATCTCAAGGTATCTCAAGGCTCGGAACGGCTCAAAAGGAGCTGGGGAGCTGGAAATTGAGTATCTCTAGGTATCTCAAGGTATCTCAAAGTATGTCAAGGTATCTCAAAGCTCGGAACGGCTCAAAAGGAGCTGGGGAGCTGGAAATTGAGTAACTGAAGGTATCTCAAGGCTCGGAACGGCTCAAAAGGAGCTGGGGATTTGGAAATTGAGCATCTCAAGGTATCTCAAAGTATCTCAAGGCTCGGAACGGCCCAAAAGGAGCTAGGGAGCTGGAAATTGAATATCTCAAGGTATCTCAAAGTATCTCAAGGCTCGGAACGGCTCAAAAGGAGCTGGGGAGCTGGAAATTGAGCGGCTCAAAAGGAGCTGGGGAGCTGGAAATTTAGTATCTCAAGGTATCTCAAGGTATCTCAAGGTATCTTAAGGTATCTCAAGGTATCTCAAGGTATCTCAAGGCTCGGAACGGCCCAAAAGGCGCTAGGAAGCTGGAAATTGAATATCTCAAGGTATCTCAAAGTATCTCAAGGCTCGGAACGGCTCAAAAGGAGCTAGGGAGCTGCATATTGAGTATCTCAAGGTATCTCAAGGTATCTTAAGGTATCAAGGTATCTCAAGGCTCGGAACGGCTCAAAAGGAGCTGGGGAGCTGGAAATTGAGTATCTCAAGGTATCTCAAGGTTTCTCAAGGTATCTCAAGGCTCGGAACGGCTCAAAAGGAGCTAGGGAGCTGGAAATTGAATATCTCAAGGTATCTCAAGGTATCTCAAGGTATCTCAAGGTATCTCAAGGTATCTCAAGGTATCTCAAGGTATCTCAAGGTATCTCACGGAACGGCTCAAAGGAGCTGCAGAGCTGGAAATTGAATATCTCTAGGTATCTCAAGGTATCTCAAAGCTC